ACTGCAAGGGGCGAATCGCTGACTCGCAAATGTGTTGTCTTATCGAAAGAGCATGCTATAAATCAGGAATTTCCGAAGCATTTCCCACAAACCTACTCTTAACGTCGACTTGAAATTGTCAAATCACGATCAATTCCATCTAAACCATGGGATTCGACTATCTTCTGGTGTGAGTATGCCCTTGTCACTGTTTATCCTGAAATTGCTGACCTTTCAGGCATGTCACCTACAACATCCCGTTAGCGGGTCTCCTGACACTTGTTTACTGGCCATTCATGACACGTCTGGACTGGCAAAAGATTTCCACCCTCGTCATAGTAGGTATAGTTCCTGTAAACAGGAATAGGGGGCTTACGGTTGAGCTAGATATCCCTCGTCGCCACCATTCCTTGGGATTCGTACTTAGTGCGTCACTGCATCTGGACATACGCCCCGAATGGGGTCACAGGCTGGACCTTATACGATATCCCTTTAGAAGAAGTGTTTTTCTTTATTATTCAAACATATAACACTAGCTTGGTATATTTGATCCTAACCCGGCGGCTTGTGCTGCCGACGTATTTGGGTACTGTCGCACGAAAGGAGACTCTCACTGGAACTTTGATACTTTTACTTGCCATTGTGATTGGGCTTATCGCATTGCACTTTGGAGAGCATTTCACTTATCTTGGTCTAATTATCACATGGGCTGGTCCATTTCTTTTGATACAATGGTAAGTGCTCATGCATCGCGAACTGCTCATATCTGACACCGGTCTCCAGGCTCTTCTCTTCTGGTTTCGTTATGGCATTTCCCAGAATGGAGCTCCTGGCATCTGTTGCACTTCCTACTCTGTTTCTGTGGATAGTGGACACAATTTCCATCAATCAAGGAACATGGACTGTTGAGGCGCCGACTAAACTAGGCATTCAGTTGTGGAGTGGTATGGATATAGAGTAAGCCTTACCAACGTCGATGACTGACTTCAGAACGTACTGACCTAGCTAGGGAGATACTCTTCTTTCTGATCACCAATATAATGATTGTTTTCGGTTTAGTATGTATCGATTATGCTATCGCAATGGCAACTTGTGAACTAGCGCAATCACCGGAAGTAGTCCAAAGGTTCCCGTCCTACTTCCGGGTCTTAGCACAATTTGTAACCAACAAATACCATCCAGACAAACGATTCGTGACCAATCTGGGAAAGGCAGTTGAGCGTCTCGCAACCTCCAGCCAGAGCATGTACATAGGAAGTGCCATGTTCCAAGGACCGCTACGAATTGATCTAATCTTGCTGTGAGTAACTGCATACTCCTCGGTTAACTTTACATGACATGTTAATAAGTGCCGTACGTAGATACTCTTTCTTCCGAGTAGCAGACGACCTAGTCGACGAAGCTCAGGACACCGAAAGCGCACGCAGAGTAATCGAGCAGTGCGACCAACTCCTCGAAGCCAAATTCTCGCACCCAGACCTGTTTCCATTTTCACCTAGCTCCAAAGAGGCCAAGCATTCTGCACCTTCAGAGCTCATCGTAGCGATTGACAGCCTCCCCGTCTCCCGGTTGCGGCTTGAGCATCTGCAAGGTCTCCTCGAGGGCTTCCGGACGGACCTATCCTTCAGCGCGAAATCTGGATCCTTCCCATTCGTCGCAGAGTCCGATCTGGACACTTATTCTTATCACGTCGCTAGCACCGTAGCAGCATCCATGTTGGGTCTAGTTGTTCACCATTTTCCGGATCATCAGTTTGCGGTCAACGTTTTTCTTCGTCGTCGTGTTGTAGATGCAGGTGAGAGGATGGCCCAAGCTCTTCAATATGTTAATGTGGCCCGTGATATTGCTCGTGATGCTGCCATTAACCGGGTGTATCTACCCACGATGTGGCTGGAGCAACAAGGGCTGGGTCCTGCAGATGTGCTTGCCTCCCCTACAGATGTTCGGCTGGAGTTAGTGCGGGATAGAGTTCTTGATAGCGCGGACTTTCTCAGTACTCCAGCTCGGGAGGAGATCAAATTTCTGCCCAAAGAGGTTCAAGGGCCGTTTCTTGCGACCGTTGATAGTTACCTGGAGATAGGGGTAGCTTTGAGACGAGGTATGAGGCCGAGAACCCAGGGGGACAAGCTAAGGCTTCCAATTGGGACACGCTTGTGGGTTGTGTATCGGGCTATGGCCCTGAGACAGTAGTATGGACTACCTTTTCTAGGAAAATCCTAGCGTATGAGCTGGGATATGGCATCTAAACGGGTATCTGGTCTCTAAGGTTTGATTCAAATCCTTAAACTGTGTCGTCATTGTCATCTTCGTCGTATACCTAATTCTGCTTCCACAGAAAGGATACTACCAGTACCGATAGAGCCATCACTACTGTCAATATCAACCCAGTTCGAGATTTCTGCCTGATTGCCCTACTCCAATCCTCCACTATTTGCTGAGCGACGAGCTTGCTCCCCGCCAGGCAAACAGGAACCCCTGTGCCGGGATGCGTGCTGGCTCCAACAAAATAAACCCGCTCAATATCCGGATGCTTGGTTCGCGGCCGAAAACTGAGCACATTAAAGAACGCGTGTGATAGACCCAAGATCGCACCACGGTCGAGATTGAACTTTCGTTCCCAGGTAAACGGTGTCTCAACCATTTCATGGACCAGCCTAGACCGCAAGCCTTGTAGGCCCGTCTGAACCTGAATAGTGTCCAAGACAGTTTCACGTGTTTGAGATACTAGGGTATCCCATCTCTGTTCTTCGAGTTGTCCTCCATTTACCGATGTCAAATGGCCCACTGGGACTAACACGACAACGGCCTCTTTACCAGGTGGTGCTGCAGTTGGGTCGATCTTACTCGGTACATTTACATAGAATGATGGCTCGTCTGGAATACGGTGCTCGTCGAAAATGGCATCAAAGCTTTCCCGGTACTTTTCAGCTAGGAAGATATTGTGTGCTCGTAAATGAGGTAATTTCTCGTCGAAAGACCAGAAGAATGAGATACTACTGCACGATGCGGGTCGCTTTTTCAGGCTGCGCGACCGGCGTGTCTTTGGAAGGAGTTCGTTATATGCGTATACAAGATCGGCGTTTATGACGACCAAGTCAGCATGGAGTTCTTCGCCATTTTCCAAAAGGATACCTCTTGCAACGTGATCGCTGTCATCGAGTAGGACCGACTTGACGGGACTGTTCAAAATATATTCGGCTCCAGATCGTTGTCCGATATCTGCTAGAACTCTCAGGACCTTTTTTAGTTCTAAAATTAGCGAGTTGATGTATTGACTCGATGGGGTTTTTCCTATAGCGTACCATTTGGAATCCGCCCTCTGGGTACCATATCCCATCCACTGTCTCGACATATTGTAGCAGCGAATATGTGCCCGGAGCCCGATAAGGACTCATTCCCAGATACATACTACCAAAAGTCCAGACACGTCGCATTTTCTCTGAATAGAAATACCGCGCAGCTCGAGAGTATGTGCTCGTCCATGGATGCATGGAGATTAGTGCCTTCAGTACATCCCATCGCAGCAAACTCAGCAACCGAGGAAAGTTCTTCCGCAGCACATGCGCAAGTGATAGGTTATAATGAGTACCGGCCTCGTTCAGGAAGGCACAGAAACGGGGAAACCCATCGGGACCTTCGTGGTCTTGGATTTGCGTCTTCAGGTGGGCAAGATCAGTCGATAGCTCTATGATATTCTTGTCAGGGAACCAAACACAATAGTTTGGTTCGCATTTGACTAGATGGACATTTTCTTGCTCTAGCGAGGTACCGAGATCCTGGAAGGTCTCTTCGAAGATCTCGCGCATTAAAAGCAATGATGGGCCTTGGTCGAAGCGCTAGGTAATGTTAGTTACATTATTTCGTTCAGGGTTGAGACACACAAAGCCATCTTTCGAGATGATGGAGCATCGACCACCAATGAATCCGTGTTTTTCTACAACTTTGACGTGGAACCCTTGTTGAGCCAGTCGTGCTGCTGTGGTAATCCCTCCGGCACCAGCACCTGGTACTATTAGTCGGGTCTTGATAGAGTGCTAATGGGGATTGAAAACATGAGGATATAGAAGCCAAACTCACCAATAACAATCACAGTGGCCATCACCACAATCTGAAGGGTTTTGGTGGTTAGCCCTAAGTTAGGAAATGCAATCGTATTTCACGCCACTCTCTCTTTAATGAGACATGTGAACTGATACTCTAATATCTATAAATTTACGAAATCCTCCACATCACGTATATGTATGACGTTACCATCACACATTGAAGCTTTCCAAAATCAAGATAGATGTGACGACAGCCGGACTTCCGACCTCTTGGCGTGACAAAATGATCTGGTTGTCCCATTGTATTTCACGGTGGCACAGTCAATATTTGAGCATTTCAAGAATCTCATTCAGTTTAAACAATTCGACTGATTCAGTCAATATAAACAGTCTGGTACTGTAGCTCTGCAATGCCTTTGGCTTGCCGGTTCCTTGGGCCCATATAAGTTTCTGTCAGGATAATATCCGAGTGAGCAAAATGAGAGAAAGAAAGAGCATCATAAGGCTCAAACTCTCATAAGATGACAAGCCATTTTCAAGTTGAGCTCAAACTCAGACAATTAAATTGTTGGCTTGGGCAACTAGGCTTCCGGGTTCCGTCCGTAGATGAAATGCGTGTAAACATAAAGTTATCTTTTCGTCTCCTTGAATTCTTTTTGAGCTTTCGTAAAAAGTATACGACTTTCCTGCTCAGTGCAGCCCAGTAAACGAGTAAAAAGGGCCAAGGACAGTGGTTCAATCGCATCCATTGTCTGTATTTGCATCCACTGGCCAAAGCTCAACGGGAACTTTCAGCACGTCCTCACGTACGCCTACAAATCCATCCGCTTTGAGTTTGTCTGCTAGTGCTTCGACGATATTTACTGGTTTTCCAAAGGTATTCATGCCGTCCACAAGGTGGCGATTCCATTGCCGAATAGGACTCATCCAGAAGCCCGTCATTCGGCGAGTAAAACCAAACACGGAACTCCTGCATCTCTATGAACCCATCAGGCCTGATATGATGGAATGCTTGTTAGAAGAGCCGATTCCACTGCCAGCCATATTTCGTTGGTGGATGTAGTTGAATTGCTTGGACTCTGGGTAAACCCACTCGGCTTCGACATCATCGACAACAAATTTGCAATTCTGTGGAACCCTGAAAGCAATGTTAGAGACGTGCCCGAGCACTCCTAGATTAAATATGTCAAATACACAGCACAGTCTTACCAATGGGGCTGAATTGGACTTAAGTCGATCCCCAGTACCTCTACGCTCGGGAAGTCAGCTGCGATATCAATTGCATAGGTGCCAGTCCCTGTGCCAATATCCAAGATGCGTTGTGGGGGCTGAGGAATCGGTGCTTTATGAAGGCCACCTCCTAGCATGAGACGATAGATACGATGAAGCATGTCCATGCGGGCTTGCTCAGCCTCGTAGTCCGGGAAAATATATTCACCCTCCCGAAACCCATGATAGCGACGGCCATTCTCGTAGACGTAATTTTTTATGCTCGAAGTAATAGATGTAGCGAAAGATGCTATCACCAGTAGGCGAGTCAATGTCAGATAATTGACTTTTAGCTTCATATACTCTTGCAACGGAATAACTGCCCTTAAACTGTTCTCAAACCTGCAGCTTGTCCGTGGGAGCCCACACCCTGAGAGATATTGGGAGAAGGCTCACTTAGAGTCAGAAGTTCAACAAAAACAGCCCATGCTTAGGATGATTAGGAAAGGTGGTACTGTTTTATCGCCTGCTCCACGGATTTCCTGAATTAGAATTCCCGACGCACGTACCATATAAATTAATGACATGGTTCAAGCATTATTACTCCGACATATGGTTACGGTCATAAGGATTCCCGTCACCCTTCACACACAATTCACTATCACGTTCAATAGAGTCACAACGGCAAATTATGCTAGACTTGAGATACCTTTCAAGATGTCTTAACGACCATGACATTCTATCACTGGAATCGATGGAGATACTGACAGTGTTTACATGAGATATGCATTTCAGGTTAATATACTCCGTGGCTAGTCAAATAGCCACAGTATAACATCGAATAGTTTTCGATAGGAGAGTAAGAGTGGACGATCACAGAGTTCAAAACTCCATCAAACTATACGCTGCCCAATTGGGAAGGTGAGGCGACTCCCCTGGGCAGGCAGGCGGTGTGGAATTTCTGCCAATGACTATCGATTGTTCTCCCTCAGGTCGCTCGAGTCTTGAGCATGCATCATCTTTCATAATATTTTGCATGTCACTCCATCATGTCTCGTTTACCTCCTGAAGATAACAGGTATCCGCCGGGTCCTTCTCACCGGCCCTATCCGCGCCGTGATGATAGGGACGGCCGCATGTACGACGACCGTTCGCGCTCGCGCTCGCCTGGCGGTATTACGCTCCTCCCCGCACGATAGCATAGGCGTGGATGCTTGAAGAAAAGCCGTACAGTTTCTCTCTCCGACTCGGCAACTGCTAACTGTATTCTCGGATCAAAAGATCTTCCACGCTCTCCCCCACGAGGGCCTGCCTCGGACAGAAGACCCGATTACTCCAGAGACCGCCCAGATTCCAGACCTCGTTACCGCAGTCGGGACCGTGATGAGTATCGACGACGCTCGTCTAGATCGCCTCCGCCCCGGCGCGGGAGGCCGGCATATAGAGATCGCGACCGGGAGGGTTATCGCTCGCCTGGATACCACAGTCGGAGCAGAAGTCACAGTCCGAGTCGGAGTCGAAGCCCGCGACGAGGCCGTTACTACGGACAAGAAAGCAGAGAAGTAATGATGGATGGCTTGCCGGTGGATATGACGGAAGAAGACGTTGGAATACTCCTTCCCCCTGAGATTTCATTGCACGTGGAAGCTCAGAGCTGCGCTCCACAAAGCACCGTTTTGGTAACAAGAGGCTGAGATGTGCATGTCACCGGTGGTTCCGGTCGACATGTTGAACAGATTACGAATGAACTCAGAGACGGTTATCATATTGAAGGTCTTGAGGAAGTTCGGGTTATCCGTGATCGGCAGACTAGTAAGATTGATACTCCCTTGTATAAAATTCACGGACATCCTGACGGTTTGCAGAGATATCCCGACAGCTCGGCTTTCTCCGATTCCGAGACCTCAATCATTCGCGCGCTTTTCTTGAGCGCAACTTTCCGTCCGTTTACTTCTACGGCCCAAGCGCTGGTCGGGATGACCGAGGAACCAAAGTCCGCATCGCATATAGCCGGGAAAGAGAGGATCGTGCTCGCGCCAGAGCTGAGGGGGATTGGACTTGCAAGAACGTGGGTAGCGTACTATACACTGCCAAAAATGCAGCTAACATAGTTCTATGCAGTGTGCGATAGTCAATTACTCGACACGTTCAAAATGTTTCCGGTGTCAAGCCCCCCGACCTGGTATGTATCTTCGCCTCACCGACTATTATTATCTTACTAACGAGCACAAGAACCTGGTCCAACGGGACCTCCTGGAATCGCTGCTCCCAAGGTTGAAAATAATGGTGATAATGATGCTGCTCCTGAAAACCAGCCGTCCCAGTTTCTCTTGTTCCGAGGACTCGAGCCCACCGTAACAGAAGAGCTTCTTGCGAAAGGAGTCGCTAAACTGTACCGACCAGCTCCTAACAATTCTGAGAACACATCAGGAAACCAGAAGAAGGGGGCTAAAGTGGCTTCCACTACTGGTGATTCCAACCTAGGGGCTCGGGACGGGTCTATCCGCCGTGTGCTACTAGTAAGAGATCGCAAGAGCAACGAAAGCTGGCGTTATGGATTTGCGGAATTTGCGACTATCCAGGTAAGGAACCCGCCCTTCCCTTTCGGATATCCGTTCTTACGGGGCCCTTCAGGATGCTCAAGCGGCTGTTACGCGTCTGAACTCGTTCGAGAAGTTCACTATATCATCAAGGCCAGTGCTTGTGAGCTATATTCACGCTGGTGTATTTGTTCCCGTGATCAATCCCTCGGCGCGTACAGAGAGGTTCACGTTCAGCCCTCTGAATAACCCATCTTTAAAGCTTATGTACTGGGATGAGGAGGCCTATGTTAGAGAGCTCACAGTTTCGACTGGCGACAGCGAAAATAATCAAATGTTATTGAAGAACGACCAGCCTGATCAGTCAGAAAATCAGGGAAAGGCACAGAAAGACACGGACAAGACGAAGAAGAGAAAGGCAGACAACTCGTCCACCGCCGGCGCCAAGAAGCTTGCGATGCCGTCACATCTACAATTTTGGAGCAATCGACATGCAGAGCTACATGGCATTCAAAAGAAGAAGCCAGAAGATGTCGGAGGTGGCTCGGATCAAGGAGCATCGGCAATGGATCCTGGCGCTCCACCCGCCCAGTCCTATGCGGATCCCAACCGGAACTGCTGTTATCTCTGCATGCGCCAGTTCAAGAGCTCCGCGGAAGTCAACCGCCACGAACGACTCAGTCAGCTGCACCAGAGTAACTTGCAAAATGAAGAGCTGAAAACCAAGGCGATGGGGAAGCTTATCAAACATGGTATTGTCCAAACACCCGAGTACCGCGATCGAGCCAAGGAACGCCGACAGGCATTCGGCAGCTCCAAGGCACCAGTCAAGAAGAGCGCGCCTCCGCCGAAGGAGGAAGAAGAGCTCCCAGTGGAGTCGACGTCGAAGGGCGCTTCTCTTCTCAGTAAGATGGGATGGTCTGCTGGAACAGGACTGGGTGCTCAGGGCACTGGCATGACTGCTCCTATTGCCACTGAGGTCTACGCGCAGGGTGTTGGTCTAGGAGCACAGGGAGGCAAATTGGGAGATGCCGTCGAAGAAGCAGGACGGAATACCCGCGGTAGATACGATGAATTCTTGGAAAAGACTAGGCAGACTGCACGGGAGCGATACGAGAAAATGGAGAAATAGTTGTAATATCTTGTACAATAACCACAATGAAATTCATGACATCAAATTTTCCCAAGCGGATCGCCACCTGAAAGTCAAACACCTCCGCATAAGCAACAGCGCATAGCATAAAATAACAAAACACAATGATGCAACCAAACATCCAACGCAAGAAGCCATGCTAATACATGAAATCAATCAATCAATCAATCAACATGGATCCTCCTCAAACACCGATCCGACTTGGCCGTAAACGAGCTCCGCGTATGCATCATCGTCACATTATCACTAATAACCCAATCGCCCTCTTCCCACGAATGCCAATAAGCAACACGACGATCATGAAGCAAAGAATCCAGCATCTGGCATATTTCCGCGGAGTTGGGGACATCCTGGATCGTGATGTATGTCGGGTCGAAGGCTGTTTTCTCTTGAGGCCAAGGCTCATGGTAGCGAAGACAGGGTCTGTTGTGAGCAAAGTGTGGAACGACTAGGGGTAAGTCGGTGATCTTGGCTTCATCGAAGGAAGTGGTTTCCACTGTCCAGGATAGTTTCGCGAGTTGTTCCAGTGTGTAGTTTTCAGGGAGGTAGTGCCAGATGAGGTGGGAGGCGCTGAAAAGTGTGAAGCCTGTGTCTTTTGGAGAGGGAGTCATGCCGGTGAAGAATTGGAACCTAAGATTATACTTGGTTAGACGAGTTCATATTTTCTTCTGACGGAATAATCGTGGAAGTGAAGATAGTAAGTAGGATTTGGTTTCACTCACTTAGGCGGACAAGAAATCGTGACTTCTTTCCCGTCAGCACCCATCTCCTTCTTGACTTTAAACAGACCATCATAGTGGAATGGCATCCACTCGGCAGATAACACATTGTTAAGCCCCTGAGATTCAGTACCGTGGTCTTTGACCTCAAGGATCAAGCCAAATTTCCAGGGCATAGGCGTTCCCATATCCCCGGCTTTCTGGACAAACAGCTCTTTGTCACGGGTGTCGTTGAAACCGCGGAGAACCACGGGGGAGTTCTCCTGGACTAGTCCACGAAGCTTGAGCATGTCCAGATTAGTAACTGATGTATTAGTCTCTGTTGGCCGAATGATCAGGCCACAAGGGTATTGAGGCTCGATCTCCACCGACTCAGACCAGGTGTACAGGTCCGATTTGACGCGGTAGTACCATGGTCTTCCGTCCTTGTGTACTAACTCCACGTCCTCGCGGTTATCGAATACCTCTCGCATCCCGTACTCGATTCTTCCGTCAACGGTGAAGCAGGGCGAGGAGTGCCAGGGTGTCACGGCGTGGAGAGCCAGAGGCAACACTTTGATAGAGATCTTGGTGGATCCGGTGGATGGGTGAATCGAGAGGCGGATATGATCTGCGTAGTTCTTTCGGATTGCCTCTGCAAAAGCCTAGTGAGAAAATCAAAATCAGTCAGACTTGCTATATCCTTTTGGTGTGGTAGGACGCGCGACCTACCTTGCCACGGACGATCATCTCCTTGGCGATCGATTCTAACTTTTGCTTGTGGGAGCGTTTGGAAACACTTCCATCATCGATGAACGTGTGCTCCAGGTCCTTGGTGAGGAACTTAATGTAGCCTCGATAAGTCGCGCACACATCCTTGTCTTCTTTGATACTAGCAGCACAGTCGTAGTCCAGGGGAGTGTAGGTCTCTACCAATCTCTGTCGAAAGGTTCCAGCAAGGCTCTCATATGTGGCTGCGTCAAGGGGCATATCTTCGTGGACGTGGAGGAGGTGCTGTAGTCTGATAAATTGGATGTGTTTGTATTCCTGGTCGAGAACGAGCTGTCGAAGGGATTGGCCGTATGCGTAGACTTCTGAGTCGGGCACTCCTAGGAGGTCTAGTTTCGTCAGCCTTGATATAATCAAGGTAGAAAGTATCTTCTCAAGAATGCACTTACCATTGTATACGAGGCCATCAGATGCGATAGTCAATATAGCACCCGGCTCGTAGATATCTGTAATTGCCGCGCACAAGCCATTCAGATGTGACAAGGCAGTCTCTTCTCCCTTATCTGGTAAGGCACCCAGTACCTTGTTCTCGCGGTTTGGAGATTTGAAGGGAAAGGCCGGCAGAATCAATGGAATTGCCTGCTGCGCTTTCACTCGAGAATAAATGAGAGGGAGGAACTTCAGGGTTCCTTCATCGCTGCGATCCTGTACGGATTCGGGAACTGGTGCGCGATAACGATAGATGACGTTCAAGATTTCTGTTGCTTTTTGCAGTGCTTTTGCATCGAAGACAATAGACTCAATGGGAGATAATAACGAGAAGCTCGTCGTGGCCAATGGAGCCTGGACAGCTGTTGCGCTCATGTTGATGTGTTCTCTTGGGGAGTTTAAGTGAAAATACGAAACCAGATGCTTAACCCACACCTTCTTGAGGTGATCCCGACATCATGGTGCGTGATAGATATATTTATACTGCTGCAAGGTGGTGGCCAGTTGGGCAATAGTAATTCGATGCATTAAATTGCAACTTGACTTCCACAAATAAAATGGATTTAGTCAACCCTTACCAATCAAATCGACTGGAGCACTCATGCATGAAGCACGGACTGACGAATATCATATGATGATAAGGGTTCCTGCAGCCTTGTTCCCACCCAGTCAACGAGATTGCAGCGGTATTTTCCGCGCTGCTCAGGTAATCCAGTAGTGCCTAAACTAGATGAGTCCGGGGCTCGCACTAGGCATAGCTTGTGCACCCTGAAGAGCTCTCCAAGCACTGCCGTCGACCGATTGGCTCCGAGATAGGCCCCACGCCCTAGTAGCGTTTACGGGTTCCAAGTTCAAGCATGTCCTACTGTTAGATTCAGGGCCTCGAGTGGATATGCTATATCCAGACATCATCTTGGGACCGGTTACTACAGATCAGTACCTCATGATCCCATTCCGACATTCCGAGTAGCTGCCGTATGATCGATAGGAACGGGGTTTGAAACTGTTGCACAGCCTGCGAGATGTATGGATCCTGTAGTCGTAAAAGGCAGTATAGACGGTCTGAAGATCCAGAAGCATCAATGAAAATTGATTGAAGGGGTGTACCCCGGACCATGGTAGCAGTCCAGGCACCCGTACCGTTTTGCCAAGCTGCAAAGGACTCGGGATTTGGGCCTTGGCACACTCCTAGTAATATTCGGTGCATTAGATGAGCGATATAATCTGGAGTAGATGAGCTATATAGGGGCTATCGCGAACTGCGATGGGCCTGTTTCAGTAGTCACCATCACGACATCAAGCTCTGGTGGATGATCATTACTATTGCCAGTAATTGGGACCCGGGTATAGTGAATATCCACAGTATTGGCTTTTTTTTTAAAAGACCATACTAAGACACCAGCAGGAGGGGTGGCAAAGTCTTGGTTTAATATAAGCGATAACTAAGCGATGGGAGCCCGTCGGTCTTCCAACCGGGACTAAAGGCTCGGCTATTGTGTAGGGTAATGAGCCCGGAAGACTTATGTTCAACGGGAGTCTTTAGCGCGTAGTCTAACGTGACCGAGCCTAAACGCTAAGCTTTAGTGCCCGTCCAGCCCGCACACCAAATGTTGTACCTTTTTTTACTCCACTTCAACTCTCGCCTGCAATTTCTGCAGCAGACTTTTTTGAATCGGGACATATTTCCTGACATCGAAAGTGAGGGATATGAGACATCAATTGTCAGAGATTTGCCACGGACCACATTCGGGTAGAGAGGACTGATACTCTCAAATTTCTGCCCAGTTCCGAATTATTCCAGGGTCCAGACAGCGTGGCCAAGTTTGCCAAGGAAGACTGATAAGATGAACACAGCCTGGTCCAGATCCACCCGGTACCATCGATCCAGAGAATTGAAGCCGAACTGAGGTTTAATTACCTAATTAGACTTTAAATGAAACGAATACCGGGTGATTTCTGCATTTGTCATCACAGGCTACATCTCATCAGATAAGGCGATCCACTAGCGGAATACTCCCGCGGGCGAAGTCCTGCAGGAACATGGGATGAGCTGGTCCATCTGCTGCACCGTTAGCTGGTTATGGCGCTTGGTCTAATGCCGATGCCCAGCCCTGTAGATGTATGTATATCGTCGTGTTTCCCAGATTCAGGAAAGATGAACAAATCTTGCGCATATCATACGATCCGTCTCGTTCCAGACGCTTGGGTGCGGTTCTTAAATCTTCTCAGTTTCCTTCTGCCTGAAGCGTCCTCCATAGTACAATAATCTTCTACTTCACAATGGAGAACATACCATCAGCATTCGACGTCGATCTGGTCATTGTCGGTGGCGGACCAACAGGTTTACTATCAGCCGTCCTTGCGAGAGCCCAGGGACTCTCAGTATATATCATTGGTAAGTAGTCTCTATACACTCACTTGACATGTCAATGAATTCAAATCAAACATACTAACTAGATCTTCTCTCAGACGCCAAGAATGGTGCCTTAGAGGTCGGCCGTGCGGATGCCCTAAACGCCAGGACCCAACAATATCTCGAAGTGACGAGAACTTTATCCTTTCTTGAGCCCTTTGGCTTGAAATGCAACAGTGCGTTGAGTCTATCTCGAGCAAGAAATTCAGTTTGGTTGACACCCATTATTAGCAAGCTCGACATTCGAAGGGGGACAGTTTACCTCTCAACAAAACAAATGGTGGACGTCGTTGAAACATACCCACCGTCCCAACTTCCTCATGATCGGCCAGTCACAAGTCGAGGAGACTCTACTACATCAACTTGACATCCCCGTCGACTATAACTCGCAGGTCAATGGGATCAAAGAAACCACGTCAGGTGTCGTGGTGACAACCGACAAGGGAAGAACGATAGCAGCCAAGTATGCGATTGCGGCAGATGGTGCGCGCTCATTTGTGCGTACCACACTTGGGATTCCCTTTACTGGAACTAAGCCCGAAATGGTCTGGGCCGTTCTGGATACCTTTATTGAAACGGACTTTCCGGTCTGCCCTGAGATTATTACCTTCCAGAAGGATGGACAATCACGCGTTGCATGGATCCCTCGGTAAGTCGTCCTGCTATTTGTTTCTAAAATTTGTGGACCGACCATTGTCCTAACATTATATGTAGAGAACGTGGTATGAACCGCTTCTATATCCTACTCGACGGAGAAATCACACAGGAAAAAGCCGAAACCTCCATACGAGACCATATGGCTCCGCACAAGGTTGAGTTCAAGAAGACCGAGTGGTTTAGTACGTTTGAGAGTATGTAATGCGCGTCCTTTGCTTAATGAATTGCACGCATAAGTAGTAACGCAACATCTAGTCAAGGAGAGAGTAGCCAGCACTTTCATCTCTAAGGGTGGAAATGGTCGCATTTTGCTTGCTGGTGATGCCGCCCACGTCCACGCCGTCAATGGCGGTCAGGGTTTGAATACCGGTATCGCAGACGCATTCAACCTCATATGGCGGGTCGCTTTTGCGGTCAAGGGACATGGTGGTTCTACACTACTGAAGAGTTACGATGAAGAGCGTCGTGCCACAGCCACGGCTGTCATTGACGTTGCTGCTAAGTTGGTGCGGACCACTGTCAAGACTGCTTTGGAGTATGTTGAAATCATTGAGAAGAATGCGGGCTATATTACAGGTAAGGTTATCATTCGCTTTGCTTCTCGCTGTTATAGTCATGGATCGATCCTAATTTTCCCAATCTACAGGTATGGGAGTCTCCTACTCTTCTACTACCCCGCTGGTAGTAGACTCAAGCTACGGCGACTTTGTTGCTGGGAACCGTTGCCCCGATCTATGGGTTACCAAGCTTCCTGAGAGATCATCGCAAACCAATGCCGCAGACTTCTCTCAAATCCGGCTATATGAGCTGTTTACGTATGGAAGATTCAAGGTCCTCTTCATTGGGAATGAGAAGCCTGCCTCTTTCAAACAGGCTATTGAACTACAACAGAAAGCAGAGATATGGCATATCCATGACCAGGACCATCGCCTAACTACGCTTACCCATGAGTTCAGTGCGGAGTGGGTGAAGAGCGAGGAAGGCGCAGTTGTGGTAGTAAGACCGGACATGTATATTGGTTATGTCGGGAAGGATTGGGTGCAATATCTGGAGACGGTATTTAGTTGATGGAAGGTTTAGACAATGAACATGCATATTTTAGGGCTATTTCTAGTATACGTAATAAAACAACAACCTAATTCTAGTTCAATAGACAGAACCTTTTACTCCTAGTAAAAAATGCCAAAGCTAGGCAATTCGAACGAGCCTGGTTAGCTAGAGCCTGACCCTATCTGAAGTTGTCGTTGCAATTATGAACCCAGTTGTGACCCTACAGTTTTTAGCCACATACGAGACTATGATACTAGTGCAGTGACCATACAGCATCAAAAAGAAAAAAAAGAAGAAAGAAAAAAAACATACAACAGGAGGGATTCGCTGGTGGTCACCCACCCAACTACTAACCTCCCGGCGTGTGGCTTAAGTACGGCTGAGCGGACGGGAAGCCCTGTTCTCCACACCCTATGGTCGTATGTGATAGTATAGTCCAAGTACTAAAATTATATCGTAATACATGATTGTAGTTCAATTGAGATAGTCTCTATCGGGAGGCAGAAGCAGTCTCTCTAACACCAAGACACCGATGAGCCACACAGAAACTATTGAAATATGTAAGGTATAGCAGCGCGTTTACCATGGATTGTCTCTTTGTCAGCCTAGAGTACCCTTGGAGTGGTATTTTAGCCATGAAGTAGAGATATATTTCGTTCGTCAGTAAGCTCGGCGATATTTTGAATCATGATCATAGGCCATGACTAGAATACTCTGTGGAAACTTCTTGTAGATTCCTGGTGGATATGAAAGGGATGTGTGTATGACCAAGGATATATCTTGTATTTAAGAACAATGCCCCATGCTCTAATGGGTTGTAATAGATTAAAGCAGTAGAAAGGACATGTACCCGACTTTGATGCAGTGGGGCTGATTTTGATGTAACGTCATAGTTGATTTATAGCATAATTAGTGCGCAATGCAATCGGTGTGTATGCACATTGATAGGAGTCTAGGTTGAGACTATCTACGAGATGAGAGTGGCCGTATAATTCTCCTCTCCGTGAAGCCTCAAACAGCAATGAGATCAAGCAACGGATCGAGGTATCCCATAGCCATGCAACTATATACTGCTATTCGTCATGCTTGATACTCTGCATCAAGGCTTTATTCACGACAGGGTTCTGCTCATTAACTGCAAAAAGTCCTCCATTAGCTGGATATTGAGATACACCAATTCCAATAAGCCGATTCCTTCTTCTCCAAATACGATCACTGCCAACCCCTCTGATCTATTGCCTAAGGCAAGGATGCCGTCTTTGCTTAAGGAAGATTCTTCTGGGTAAAAGGAGAAGGGGGTTCTGCCCTCGGGTTCCCATTCAGGTGGAACTAAGATAATCTCCTGCTCTCCATCGTGGGTCCAGCCGTTACGGTAGTGGATGCCCTCGCCCACATGCTCAGAGCCAGCATAAACATTCTCGAGGATAGAATCGATCGTGAATTGCCCTGGGTATGTATAGAGGTATGTCCCATCATCGGAAAAGGTCAATTGAGGGTCGCTTTGAGTAGTTGGATGGTGCCCTTCTTTTCCCCTGTAGCGGTATCCCACATTTGAATGATTCCAAACTCAAAGCCAGAACGTGCTGTCGCAATCCAAAATTTGTCGGAAGAAAATGCCAAACAATCGACTCTTTCTTTCAGATAGGTTATCAACTGAGTACGTTTGTTGAAGATTTCACATGATGTACGAGATCCCACGGCTATATAGGCGTCAACTGAGTCCCAAATTCCCTGAGGAGATCCCCAGGTCTCACATCCTAAAAACAAGTTTCGTTATTATCTACCGATGTCACAGTCTTCCCATCGGACGAAATTGCGATCTGTAAGTCCTGATGCGGACCGAAGTCGAATTGCTGTAAAAGATCTCCCTTCGCCATATCCCAGATGTAAATGAAGCCTGTATTGTGGATTGTAGCCATCTATTTCCTATTTAGCAACCAAACAGTATTCCAGTTTTGAGACACTGAACATGGTACCTATCAGACTCGCTATTATTCTGCCTTCTAGTATATCCCAGATATCTACCTGTTCATTCGAACCAACAGCTACAAAGGTACTGTCTGGTGAAAATGTATGTTCGAGGTGCTTATCACGTTCAAAGCGTGTGCAAGTCCGAGACCGTTTCGTGCTCAGCTCCCCTGATTGAATAGCCTGGTCGTCAAATACACAGAACACCGATTTGACTGAGGTTTAGAGAACGTTTGTCGCAGTAGTAGTATGTATGCCATTTCAAGACGCCAACATATCTCTTTTTTATCAGAATGAACGTACTGGTTAGGTGAAATAAATCCGTCCAAAGTTTCATATATGCCTATACAGCTCCACCCTCACCATCACATATATCCTGAGTCTACCGTAGCAGGGACCCACAAAGAACAATCTCAGTAAGGATATCTATAATGTGAGTAATCATGCTGCAGAACTCGTACTCCGTATCATGGGTTCGCCCCCGAACTGATGCCACGCAGGGTCCTTTAGGGCCGTGGGAGACCATGGATCCGGCCCCACAGATGGCAGATATCTTAGCCAACCGATGTCTCTTGGCAAGTCTACTCCGTACAAGCAGCAGAAATATGAAAATCAAAAAAAAAATATTTCCGATGCGGGGAATCGAACCCCGAGCTGCTGTGTGAGAGACAGCGATGTTAGCCATTACACCACATCGGATGATTGTTGAATATTCAACTGTTATTTTGTTAAGTAAACCAAAATATTTTCACTACTTGACCTAAAACAGTTCGAGCTGAGCAAATTTGTTGATATACTTTACTACTTGACTATAGCATAAAGAAGAAGTACTACATACTTTCCGGTATACATGTGCTCAGTCTTAACCCATTAGATAAGTATACAGTAGAGTGTCGTCAAAGCTGGCGCCTTGGCCCAACCAACACTTCTTTATGCCAGAGGTTTGCCGTAATATATATATCAACCCTCAAGGGTGCTTCATAACTATAACACCCCACCATGGGCTGTACTGAGACCGTGTTCGCGGACACGAAGACAGTTATTAATCAGGTATAAAGCTTGATTGACCGTTCAGGATAGGAATATTTGCATAAAAACATTAACTAGGAGCTATAAAACCGAATATATCTGATTATTGCAAGATCTACACCCTTGCTAGAATCCACTCCGCAATATCATCAGCAAACTCTTGCCTATTCTCCGGCAAGTCCGCATGAAGCACATGGCTCCAACCATCATAAGACTTGAACTTCCGGTCCGCAACCTTGCCGGTCTGTGCATCAAACCAGCGCTTGCTCGCATCATGGCTGGTGACCTGGTCCCCCGTGCCATGGGTCACATAGACAGACCGGACCCCCTCGTTCAGCTTAAGTTTACCGGAAGTCAAATCGGCGGCACGGTCGAGCATGTTCGCAAACATCTCCAGTGTGCCGACACAAGGGTTTAACGGATCATTCTTCAGGATTTGCTGCACAGCGGGGTCCCGCACGATCGTTTCGACCTTCATCGGTTGGGTAATTTGGAAGCGTGGCAGTAGTTTACCTGCTAAACGACCGAGGACGACCGTGATGACACTTGGTTCCTGCTCGGCGTCGAGCCCGATAAACGGTGCCTCGAGCATGATACCCCCCAGGCGGGAAACAAGATTTTGATACTTGGGCGTGGAGGCCAAGGTCGCGACTAGTCCACCGCCCATTGAGTGGCCCATTACGAAGACGGGAACAGACGGTTTCGCTTCGAGTTGGACCTCGATGAACGCTGCAAAATCGGCTAGAATGGCAGCGGTTGGGCCCGTGTTCCCGCGGTCGGCCTTGGTTTTGGCCGACTGGCCCCAACCACGCTGGTCGATTCCCGTGCAGTAGATTCCACGGCGCGCTAGAGAGGGAAACAAATCAAACGTGTTGTTGATGTGGTCGCTAAAACCATGGAAATGGACCAGGCGGGCGACGGGAGCAGCGTTACTCGGCTGCACATGCAAATTAGTATTTCATCGCGCCAAGAGTACCATCAGCGGAAATCACAACTCACTGCCCATGTCTTCTGGTAGACGGACAATCCGTCGGGAAGCTGGAACTGGGCCTCAGTGATGTCGATGTCGGCCATGGTGAAGGATATTCGGGAAGATGTAATGTGGACGTGGTGTTTGGGGGAGAAGACGGATGAATCTTATGGGATTCCGAATCCGAACTCCAACGCGATCGGTGCCCGATGGATTAGTGATCTCTCTTGGCTTTCACCTGCACTGCAAATCTACCTACTGATATGAGTGGGCTAGGTCAACCTATTCTGCGGAGTATGCGCTTTTTTTATATTGGGTTGCTTAGGAGATGAATAATTCGATACAAACCCTTCTCGGACCCATGGGGATTGTTTAGGTGCCAGTATTTGGACCTCGGCACAGTTGATCTCCATCGCCAACTGTTGTTTCTCCCTTCACGATTCGTAGTAATTACATAGTAGTATCGATTCACGCCTATATCTCAACGTGTGTCCATCTAGGAGGCAGATTAGTCCAACAATCCAAAACATTGACAACCTTTCCAATATAAACTAGCTCGCAAAGCGGTTTTGTTACAAGGTAATAAGGCACTGTTTCCATAAATACCTTCGTAAGCAGACGGAGGTGTCAAGCTGCTTTATCAACCAGATCAGCCATTAACAGAGCTCTGGATCAGAACCTCACTCACCATAGAAACTAGGATCCTTTGTACGTCTTTAGATGAATGTGATCCTTTGATCACCCTGTTGGAGAGCTTTATAAGCAACCGAACAATCGGCCCTGGAGCCCTTCTATAGCATCTCTAACCTTTCAGTTTTTCCATATAGCAAGCCTTGTGACAGTACCATCAATTCCTTGTTCAAGACATGGGACAGGCCTGTACAAGTTTTAATGCCTCTGTCTTCAAGGTAGATCTGATGCTGCGTCCGTCTTGATGAATTGTACTTCCCCATGGTCGTAGTTAGGGCTTTCGTGGATGAGCACAAGGTTGGAGAGGGGGCTTGTTCTAAGCCCAACGCAACTTGCGACCCTGGTCCTACCAAGAATGGCCATGATCCTAGGGAGATAGAGGCTTAGCGGGGGAAGGAAATCCATTGTAGTGATAAGATGGATAGTGTCGAAGGTCTGCACTTTCAGGGGCTGGTTTTAGGTATGAAGCTCAGTTGTGAGAGGGTTGTAAGACCCACACCTACGAATAACTATCCATTGTGCTCTATCGAGGACTGCTACGGCTGAAATGTAAGAAATTAAGCTTTTAAAGCATTCCGTATAGGGCTTCTAGAAATGCGACCCTAACAGCGGATATGGAGACGACTATCATCCCTAAAACACCATCAAATTTTGACTTCAGTCAATCATTATTGAATTCCTATACATAAGCATACAATACAAAAGTGGGGTATTTCAGTTCCATATATGCACGGCAATCGACATACACATCAACGCCAACCAAGCCCTAAAATCGTCCTATGGCATCCCGTTCCAAATCGAATTTTCCATAAAAGTGATCCGACAGATCCTCAACCGACTACATTCTCAGGCCTTATTCTCATTCCTCTCCTTCTCCTTTTCCTTCTTCAACTCCATCCCAAACTTCTCCCCCAGCACATTCCCCACCCAAGCCTCAACCTCATCTTCCAGCTCCTTGTCCACCTTCGTTACATCTCCACCGTCACTATAGAAACCCCTCCTCACAAATCTTCTCATATCATCGACCCCATTAATATCCAGTGCACACAGAATACCCCCAGTGCCCGCCATGCCTAGGGAAAGCACATTCAACGTCGCCAGATTCAGCGCCTCAAAGGCTTCCGCGCCGCCGCTGACGCCGGGCTTGTGATAGAGGGAAGATGTATAGAAAGGTGGGACGGAGGCGAGATAGCGTCTGTTTAAGGCGCGGCGGGTGGTCCATAGCGAGAAGGCGAAGAATGTGAGGCCGCCCAGGAGAAGCTTGTATTTCGTCTGGGGGTTGATAAATTTTAGTTCGGGTTCGGACTCTGGTCTTCGGTTGTGGGATTGTGGTTGGGATTGGCTAATTTGTGTTGTTGTTTGTTGTGAGATTGCTTGGTCAGATGGGGTTTCGGGGGTTTGGGGAGAACCCCGGCGGAAGAATGAAAACATTCTGTTATAGCGAGGTGGGTAATTGGAGGGTGGTTTTTTGTTGAGTCGGTAATAGCAGAGAGGTCGATTGGTAAGAATTGTGGTCTTGGTGTGTTTTGGGTTTAACTCAGATCTGTGAGCCTGCGAGGGGAAGGTGAGTCGGATGGAGCGGAGATCTGAAGCTGGAATGCGGAGTTCGCGACATATAACTAGTCATGTGACTTATGCCTCAGGCAGGTAAATTGTTGCTGCTGGAAGCGTCTGGAAGCACTTTTTGAGTCATCCAGTCCAATATGTTTCGTGGATATGCCACAGCCATCATAATATATGTATTGTAATCTGGCGGCTATAGTACAATGCCGTAGCATACGCCAAATGAGGCAGGTCAAGGCACCCAGTGGTCACCTCATGTAATATAAACAAGAGAAAGAGAAAAATTATGTGCCGGGCATAGTCATCCATTATATATAAAGTATTCGACGCTGAAACCCATGAGACAATCATCCCAGAGTATCATATAACCCGGGATTCGAATGTGTAGATTCGCCAGATTCTGTGCATCTGGCTCTTAACCCAAGTCTGCTGCTCATCAGGCAAACATAGGTCAGGCGAGCAAAGATACTCAAGTTCAGACCGAATTAACCAGCCACCAAGAAGGGGAGCTGTCTGTTGATGGGCTGATGTCACCCGGCGTTCCTCAGCTTCGGGATACTCAACCTTGGAGGGGTCCAAGTGAACAGACATTGTCTGGCTGCCTAAGAAGAAGGGAACTGCAGCGCAGATATCGGTGGCCATTTCTCTGATAGTAGATATCACCGTTTCAACCCTGTCCGGTGTGCCAAGGTTTGGGAGCAGACGGAGGCAGTTGAGGATGATGTTTTGGACAACGATGCGAGATTCTCGATAGGTATTCCATGTGCTCCCTATCCACATCTCCGTATAACAGTCGCACCTATTTCTGAACATACCTGCCTCGCGAACAGATTGGGGTACCATGGTTGCCGGCACGGGGGCCCAATGCTGGGGAAGAGCCCATGTCCAGGCACAAAGTTTGCTGTCGAGAACCATAGCCATGGAGAATATGTGATTGATTTCGTCTGCGCCGTATAATTCCGGTTGTGATGCGAACTTATCCCACACCTGCCTAAGATTTACTAACTCAGTTGCAGCGGCTGTCAGCTGTGAGGATGCAGACTGCGGTATTGGTGCTGTCATGGGCCACACATCTGGCATTTCGATGGTCGGATAAGCCGGTCCCGTCGAGGCTTTAATCTAGAACAGGCTATCAGCAACAGTGCCAGTGGCTTTCAGAGTTTATAACAGACAATTTGACATTGTATTGAGTTTGTTACTATTTGCGAATTAGCATCCTCACTTGGTGGCATGTAGCCGCTGTTGACCAAGGCAATCGCCCCTTGCAGATGAGTTTTTGCTGCAATTCTGTGCTCCTTAACAGCAGAAAACTCCTAATATCTTTATTAATCTAATCATCAAGTAAGCATCGGATTTCTTCGGACTCACCTCATAGACAGACAGCAAAAGAACTGCCATTATAGTCTCGAACATATTTTTACCAAGGTTACCCTGCAAGGCTACTCTTGTCTTCGACAAAGCTCTCACGAAGAACTGCTCCGCCAAGCCGAGAAACGAGCGATCCCCTGTCCAGGCCGAGACAGAAAACAATGACACGGCCAGTGTACCCAGATACAAAGGAGTTCCAGGCCGGGCATTGAAGTATCGATCGGGCAAAAGCTCCATAAACCCAATCCGAATGAGAGGGTCTCTCGGCTGATAAAGATAGGAATTGAAGAATAAAGAGGTAACTGTACTCTCTAAAGGCAGGGGTAAAGTGCTTGGAACATTAGGGTTTAGAGCTCCCACAACGTTTACGGAGACAGGCGAGCTTTCCACCTCTGGGGAGCTCAAGGATGATGTAGTAGATGCAGTAGAAGGCGACGTAGTCGTCCCTGACGCTGTCAATGGAGGAGACAGCTCTTTCGAACCCTCTTTGCATTTTGTGGACTTAACTGCCCTGGTCTTAGAAACATTACTTTTCTTGCGTTGAAAGGCCGTTCGATCTCTTAGCATAACATCGAGTGGGTGCGGATATCCGGGGCATATCCGGCCGGTCCGGATACAGGCCTTACAGTGAGGACGAGTTTCGTCGCACTGCAGCAATCAGCACGATGCCAGTCCCAGATAAGTAAACCAACTGCATACCTTAATATGTCTAGATCGACAGTTTTGACAGCCTGTGCTAGGTTTCCCACGGTAAACCATGATGACAACTCAAGGTAATTTTGATCATGTGTGGATATCAAGAAAGCGATAAGGAGATTAGGCTTTAGTAAGTATGGATTCGATTGCATAGATCTTGTAGTATATACAACACGCAAATCTCTCAGCGAAGTCGTTCATCGAGACTCTAATCACCAAGGGGTCTTGACAATCGATACGAGCGATACTTATAGAGTAAGCTGGAGCCTAGAAACATTGACCTACATAAGTAGTCATATCGTGTTCCGTGGGCAAGAAACCGGGCAAGAGTCTCGGCCCAAAGTAGCTTAGCTGATCCTTCACGTGGTGGATGAGTCAGGATTCCTGGCTATCTTATCGGCGAGATGATCAATGACATCACTCTGTTATGTAGTATCTAAATATGCAAAAAGCAAAGAACTATTATATCTGAGCTATGGACACATAGAAGGTTCTTTTGGGGATCTCAAGGCGCAATATGGAATCAACATAAATCATCAGCATATCTCATTATCAATCATTACCTTCCTCCATCATGTCAAACGTAAACCGAAATTTCATATCACCCATACTGAATCATACAATCATACAATCATTGAACCATACGCCGTCAAATGCTGGGCGAGTAGTGCCCTCGTAGGAAAAACAACTCGAATGCACCACATGGGCTGTGGATAGAATAGACACCCTCTCCAGAACGGAGGGAGTTGCGAAGGGAAACGAGCCCCAAGCACGTTGGTTATCATTTCATCGACCCCGTTGTAATCAGCATGTCTGCCCGACCCGACCGATGAAAGCGATCAATGCCAAGATGTTCTTTGCCATCACGTCCCACATAAATTCCAAAGCCATACATGGGATGGTCCCTGTCTCCAGGAGGTGCCATGACCAGTCGCGTAACAAGATCAGCTTTGCTCCGAGGCTCACGGAGTATTTTATCCGAGAGCAGAGGGCTCTGGTAGAGGAAGCTTATCAGATCGGCGAGCGTGCTGATATCATGGGGCAGGTAGCGGCGGCGACCGGGCCAGATACACAAAAAGGACACTGTGTATAATGCGCAAAACACAACCATGGCGTAGAATGCCGGCATAAGAGCGGCAATGCGGATTTCGCTTTCTGAAGGGTAGTTGAGAGCGATAAAGACACCACCAGCCAAGATAGGAATAGCAGCCGACACAACGCTCATGAAGGAGATCCAGGCCACCTTATAGTGTTTGTTGAGGATAGCTAGTACTGTCACATGGAAGGGGAAGCACGACGGATAAGACAGTAGCAAGCTTTGGTCGGCCGGTGCACCCTGCGGAAAGGAAAGCGAGACAAATGGTTGTAGAGCACGGAAATACACATCGATAGGCTGCCACGCGAGGAAAAGGACGTTCCCGATGAGTGCTGGGATGAAGCTGTACAGGAAGTTGGAGGAGGAAAAGGACTTAGGCGACGGCAGTGTGGGCAACCGTGGTGGGAATCCGCCTTTAATGGCGTCATGGAGAAAGCTGACAAGCACAAAGGCGATAAAAAGAGCGCCGATGGTAACTGTCCATGCGACAATAAAGGTGTCTCGAAGGAACCATGGAGTCCACCGGTAACGAACAGATGGCGAGTACATGTGCTCATCGAAGCCATACTTCCCTTCTCCGATCTGCTGCTCTATGTCGTAGGAAACCCTGGATAAACCATATGGCTGCTTTTCGCGGCTCTTTTCGCTGAGGTGGAGAGACGGGTTTCCCAGCGGCGCTGCAACCTCACCGATACCGTAGAACGTCGCTTCACGGCTGGATAATTGCCAGTAGCCCAGCCGGAGGACTCTAGGGTTGAGTGACTCGCCTACATCGGGCAATATTTCTGATTGCTCAAAATCCCGCAAGATATTGGACCGTTGAATGATTGGGATCAGATCAGCGAGGCTCACCGGATCCCATATTAGTCCCGAACAAGTGCGAAGAAAGCGAAACATCAGTAGAACCAATGCAACGGTCAGTAGTCCGTATATCGCTACCAGTGTCCAGCCGACATCCTGTACAGCAGTCCAACGCCATGTCCCTTGCCCATCGACGAAGAACCACCTTGCTTGGAAAAAGCAACTTAGCAGTGGCAACGTGATCACATTCGATATCCATATTAAGACCAAAGAGAGCCCGACCAACGGTTCCCCATGTTGAAACTGCGAAAAGTCTGGAACCAAAAAGTTCTGCGATAGAATTGGTAAACGATGCAAAACATGACCTGACTTCTTTTCCGAGGCTATGATCGCAAACGGCATTGTACGATACACTGCCGCCTGGATAACGAAAGTCCAAACCGTGATAATGACAGCCAAAATTTGTGGGAGGAATTGAACAACGAAGTACCGTTCACCACCTTGGCCATCATAATCCCAGAAGCCCTGGTGTCTCTGAGACCATACGTTACAGAAGACAATCCCGGCGATCATGAGCAAAGAGCAGAAGATGACTGCAATAAGGCCCCATGGCCGTAACACATGTGGCACATAGTCCAGGCGTGGATAGAGCAAACTATCTTTTGGAGGCTCGACTGCGACAAAGGCTTCCGGTTCTACCGAGTCCGGAAGGGACCTATCGACTGGCTCTGGTGAGGGGTGCTGCAGCAATGGTTGTTGGGCGGGGTGTGTATTATGCGATTCAGGCGAGCGGATGAAATGCCCCAATCCTTCGTCCCAAATGAGACGCTCAGCCGGGTAGTCCTCGCTTGCAACCGAGCTCGGTCTTTGCAAGCTATGAGAATTTTCTTCGCGTGTAAGTTGGTTGATTGCAAATCGGATGTATGGAACGTCGTCCATGCCAGGTGTGGGTGGAGGTCCCGCATAGCTGTCACTTGGGACCTGGCGACTGGCGCTCTCGGTCATTGGGTTCATGTGAACTTCTCTGTCTTGCACAGAGCGAACGGTACTCACAGCGGGCGATGGCGCATTTTTGTTCTCGTTTGGTATCTTCACTGGCTGCTCTAGGCGGGAGGTTGATCCAACCATGGGCGGGCCTAGATGCGTTCTCGAGATGGCGGGGGATGAATTGTGAGACACAGGGTGGGACATCGGCGTGGCATACCTCACAACGGTAGCATGACTTCCGTTGCTCGGAGATCTCGAACTAGAAGTGCGATCTGAAAAAGAATAGTAGTCGTCCGAAGCGGCAACCGATTGTTGATCCTCAGAACGTAGTACTTGCGGCCTATTTGCTACGAGGAATTAGCACACCGAACTTTCGGTCAATCGGTCGGTCGGTCGAATTGATCATGAGATAGGTAACGCAAATTCCAAATTGTACTTACAGCTGACGGTCCTCAGACTTACATTCCCGGACCCCGAAGCAAGCATGACGGCTCAAGACAACGGGGGAATGTATGTGAACGGCTCACTTGCAGCGAATGGTATGCAATGGGCATTCCCAAGACGCAGGTATTGAAATTCTGAGTGAGATATTAAGCGTCGATAAGTTCAATCAAAACGCAAGGGCGAAGTAGCCCGAGGTTGTCAAGCGACGGACATCGCTGCTGTCCATAGTGAGGTGGTTGGGTCAAGACGGACTGGTTGGACGGGAGACCCCCAGCCACCTCGGATCCCAGCCACCGGTCGCTGAAACTCGATCGATCGGATTAGAATTTGTCTTCAACATGGCTTCATGCTATTGGTGTTATAAAACTGTCAGGAAGGGATAAAAAAGCAATATGGTTGGGCAAGGCATTACGCCTTGCATGAGTGTGTTGGCATGGTGAGAAGGGCCATGGAACAAGACCGGAAGTGTTCAGGTACCATCAGTACTCCATAGGGGTGGCTTGCGGCCCGAACCAGTGATAACAATGTTTGTAGGGCATAGACGCTACATGTGATTTATTTGCCCCAACGGGCTAATTAGTAGTACTTTGCTGATCAGAGACAGAGTGAGAGACAGGTAAATGACTGGCTGGTCTTTGACATCCCCAATTAATTTGTATCTTTTTTTCTTCTTGCTTTTGATCGAAGCTTCAAGAATAAATTTTCAAAACCATGCGCCCATAGTAAATGTGTAATTTAGCATAAATGCAAGGACATGATGCGATGCAAAGACATGTCAAGTGTGCACGCAGCCGCCATATGTGACAATCTATCTATATAAACACCGGTTTGATTATCATTGACCAGAATGATAAAACCTGTATATATATGCCTTCCCCCTTCCCTTTGATCATCCTCCTCATAGGCTCCCTCACGTTTTGTACAAGAAAGCCGCAATTACTCCGCCCCAACCACCAGCATTATCATCTTCCTTTGCGATCGTCGTCGATCCTTCCAGGATCATATTTGCCGTGCTCTTGGTGTTCGTGCCGTACAAGTACACCGCAGATGATTCAATAATTTGGACAGCGTTCTTTTGACACTTGCCATTGCAACCGCCATTGTTGTTAAAGAATGCCCAGTTGCAGCCTCCATAAAGGAAGAGGTTTGATGCACCATTAATTCGCTCGAATAACGCCATACGGCAGGTCGCATCATCCCCGGCGCACCATGAGAAGTCCGGATCACTTGCACTCAGGTGATTTCCCCATGGAGCCGGTGCAAGTGTGCTTCCTACACCTTGCCAGTATGGGGTTTCGCTCTGCTGCATGGTGGCAAGGACATTATGTGCGTGCTCGAAATTGTATTGATAGAGAGTGTGGTGTTCAAAGCCGGTGCCAATTAGCCATGTGGCAGCAGTAGCTTCGACCAAAAGACCCCTGCCAGTGGAGATAGTCTGCGTACTAGATCCATCGAGATCGTGATCTGCCGTCCATCCCCACATGTTCTCGATGTAAGCAGAGGAGGTACCCGTCAGATGGAGTAGTCCGTAAGCAGCTTTACAGCTGTCAGGAGAGCCGGTACAGTCACTGTGTACCCTACTGCCCACTCCACCTCCTATACGGAAATGTACATTCCAGAATCCGACGTCTCCTTGATTCTTTCCAGCAATGTTGACCTCCACCTAATGGTTGAAGTTTTATTAGTACAAGGGGCGTGGAGTTGGAGATAGTGGAGAACTCACTAATTGGCAGCCTGGCAAAATGTCTCCAACAGTAAGCATAATGTCACTGAACTGGGCAACTCCAATGTCTCCTGGGTACCCGACGCGGATCATAACGCGAACAAAACCTTCGTCCTTGAAATTACTGCCAACCGCGCTGATAGTCGAAGCGAAGGCATCTCCAATGATTCGCGTACCGCTAGGGACGAAGATTGTGTCCGTAACAATATAGGTACCAGCCGGGAAGTAAATGACTTTGCAGTCTCTGTTCTCAGACAGGATTTTGTTGATATTTGCCGTGTCATCTGTCTGACCGTCTCCATAGACAGGACTAGATGATACCGATTTGATATTCAGAACCTGATTTGATCGGTATTCCTGGTAAGTCGGCGGCGAAACCGTGTAATACTTATTTCCAGAGAGCAGAGATGAAGCCCGATTGGTTACGACAATCTTCCCTTCAACACGCTCTTTGTTAAAATTTCCTGAATTGTACTGCCGGAACCAGTTAGAAGTTGATCCTTTTTTATTGGCAGGTTCAGCTTACCATGGTTCCATGGACCCAGGTGTCCGCTACACCTCCTGTGAGCACAGCGTTACCTCCCAGACTAACCGTTACCCCAGAACTCTGAATATTCTCCAAGACGATTGCGTTACCTGCACCACCGGAGTCATTCGAGGTGATGAAGGTGTCTAGGCCCGAAGCGCTGGAATCGATCACGGTCAAGGAGCCCGAGGTCTCAGTCGCATTGATGCCTATCCCCCCCTGTTGGAAGCGGCACCCTAAGAAGATAATGTCGGTGCCTCCTGCAACTACCCCGATAGTCGTCCCAGTAAAGGTGAGATTCTTGAAAACCCATTGTTGCCCGCTCAGCTTCATCCCTACACCGCCGCCACTGAACGAGAGGTCATTCTGCATGCTGTTAGGGCCATATGCTGATAGTGAGTTTGAAACTGGGTCTTACCAAAATAATATTACTATTATAGTCATACTGCGTCGTCAAGCCAGTATGTTTGCTGCCAGTTGGCATATGGAACGCGACATTGGTCAGTTGTGTTGCCTGGCTCACAGTCCAGTCAAGGAGGGCCAGGGATTTAGCTGAATCAACCCCGGTTGAGTCCAGGACGATATTCTTAATGCCAATGTAGAAATTGTTCGTCCCTTCATGATTAGGATCCTTGGCGTATATGATGTGGTCCAGAGAATACCCAGAAGCGGCTTTCAAGACGGGTGGGTTTGTCGGGTCACCGACCACCACGGTTCCCGTGTAGAGTTGCAGAGAGGTTTGTAACAGATATGTTCCTCCCGGTAAATACACTACCGCCGGTTGTCCCGTCGTGCCCATAGATTTGGAGTTCCGAGAAGGCCCGTTTGATGCCCCCGCTGTCAGTACACTTCACCCTCAGCAATTATCCTTGTCCAAAATATATGCCTGGTAAGTAGTGCATACCTTCGATGGCTCTCTGAATAGCAGGTGCGGAATCTTGTTTTCCTGTGTTGTCTGCTTTATAATCACTTACAACGTTCCGGAAAACCTTGTAGCTGTCTTTATACTCCGAGCTCAAAAACGATGATTGGTCGTTATGCTCAGTCTTCTCATACCAATAGCCAGATGAGCCATTATTAGATGAGCAGCTAGAAGCACTGGCGATGGGCGCATGAGCCGAGGGAGTCGCGGGAGCACTGTTAAGATGTCTCCATGGTTCCGCAGTTTCGTTTTTAATAGGGAACGGTATTCCCCTACCATAATGAATAGTTAAGAACTTAGGAGGGCACAGCAAAGGATAACACCGAACTCACTTTGAATGAGGGACCCAGTCTAGCGGCGCCAGGGAAATAGAATCTTCCACAGGTTTCATTAACGAGTTGACCAAGTCTTCAATTCCGCCTGCCCAGGCGTGTGAGATAAGAAGGCATAAGGAAAATATTCGAAATATAGAGGCGGAGAACAGCATTATGCAATTCTTCTTCAAGAAGACTATACAAAGGAAAAGACTCCAGCGAAAGGAAGAGAAAGAAGGGCGAGAAACGCAATTGACCCTCCACCCTGGTGCAACTCCTGGCCGTATATATCCCCGTGTTAGCACAGGGGCCACTCGAACTGTGCCAAACTAGGAATTTAAAAGAAAAAGATGGCCCCAACACCGCATGAAGAGTCTCAAGAGAAGCAGGGAGAGACTCATGAAGGGTAATTCAGAGCTTCCACTGCTTTTTAATACTTATATATTCTATTTTCACCGTCGGATTTGCCGTGCATACCTGAACTCCGTGATCAACATGACAGTGGGGCATAGTTATCACCATCGCGACGCACGCCGTGAATGGAATTCTTCGACCTGCAGGGACTGGGTCCTGATTCGTAAGTCGGTGCCTTTTGCCGAATAATTGATTTAACTCTATCGAGATTCAATGGATTCCGGAAGACTTGATCGCCTTCTGTCGCTCTGTCCATGTCAATTTCACATCCGTCCAATCGGGGGTAGGCACAGCATCACCCAACCTCCGGGTCATATCGAACCCTAAAAATTGATAGAATAGCAAGAATCAAGCTAGGAGAGGTTTCCCATCCATAGTATGGCTTATGAGTGCGAGATCCATGCTCAAGACAAGGATTTGCCATCGTGATGTCTTACCGCCAACAAACATACCTGAAGATGGGGACATGTAAACAAGGGAGACATTAATCGTAAAGCAGTATGACGAAGATGCTCCACGTGCGGCATAGTTGTTTCTTTCTTTCTTTCTTTTCTGTCTCTTTTTTTTTATTTTTTTATTTTTATTTTTAATGTTTTCTATTATTTCGATTTCATCCGTGTCTTCAGCTCAGAATGCAATGCCCTAATTGTTGATACGGTGCCTTGTTAAATTCTATTTATTTTTATAACAAGCAAGCGGCTTCGGCGGTTCTACCAAGGGCCACGATAACAAAATAAACTTCATCCCTGACTTGACAATCCTTAATATTGTCAAATTGGCTAAGCCCCTGAAGGCAAGGACAAAAGAAAATGAAATATAGTAAAATAATCCAATGGATAAGAAAAAAAAATAAATAAACTGAAATTCTTACTCGCGTGCGATTTCAGTGCTGAGGAAAGCTCTGCGATCTAGAACCTTCTCGACTTCCAAGCACACTGTTGGCGCTCCGAAGTGGTAATGAAGCATGCTCGCGATTTACTGTCTAGATTCGGATTAGGTCCCATTGGTACTGCTCGGCGATGTCTATCAAACTCTCCCGGAACTCAATCCACGCGTGGAATCACCCCGATACCTTGGGACTCGAGTAATATGGCCTGAGCAAGACGATCAAAGTAAGGTACCTCAAGATATATCAATGAGATTCTCCAAGGATGCATTAAGGTTATCAGGCGAGTGATCCCTCCCAGTCCGCCTGCATAGAGATTGACAGCCAATTAGTGTGGCGAGAAAGAGGGCCAATGTTTATATGCCAAACAATTAAGTACCTGGTAAGCTTCTGACGAGGCAACATACCACGTAGTGAAGGCCTCATCATATTAATGTTGTATCCAAGGGTCTCAAGGACGGAGGTAACCCACCGGTTGACTTGAAGTGGTTGACCCTTGCCCACTAGAATTATACATCGAGAGTGTAAGAGACTGATAGTGGTCCGGCTCCGAATTAAGTGAAGCCGTAGCATTGTTAGCGAGTATTGTACTTCTTTATCCCCTCCGTCCGCCCGTTTTCTTTCGACAATAATTTCCGCAGGGAAATTCCGCGAAAGCTGTGGTATGCTAAGAGCTTGCAGATGCAATGCTGACTAGGAACTGCTCCCATTTAAAACATCTCCATGATCGGATTATCGACCTCAAGTACATGTCGACTAGACGGGTGGGCTCTGGAGTCATTGAAAAGAGTGGAGGCGACATCGACGCCGCCTCCACTGTGGTACGTAAAAGTACTTCATACCTGAAAATCCCTAGCTATAGACGCGTGCGTGCGATCTTAAGGGGCTCGCTAGTTACTGGGCATGAGGGTACACGCAAAGCACTTCGTTGGATGCGTTGTGATCCTGTTCTGGGCACTTTCATCCCGTGTGGTCCACCATGGTCGGGAGCCAGATCGTGCCCAAATTACCTTGAACGGTCGACATAGGTTCAGTGAAGTGGGTAGGGAAAGTGTCCTTTAATAAATTTCCCGACCTTGGGGCGTAAGGATGCGCTAAAAATGGTGGTCCGCCCCTGATCACAACAGCGATAAACTCAAAAGCGACAGTTTGGAACGATGCGTAAAACGCTTCTGCGGGACCGATAGCCTTAGCGCGTGTCTTGCAACACTTATTTGTTTCATTTGGACAGAACTTCAATCAGACCAGACACAATCAAACATGTTGAGGGTCTGCCTTCTCAAAGTTTAGTATTTGTGCATGCGTATGTATATGCTATAAACCATGACCAGTGGAAAAAACACTCTAATATTTGAAACCTACCATCAGCGTGAAATGTGATTTAACTACTATTAGCAAAGTCTCTTGTGAATGTGAAAGGATCCGAGAGAGAGTGATTGCTGGTCGGGCGAATCAAAAGGGCATTTGGGTGGGAACCGTTGCATTGACGGGAAGCTAAGGGGACGGAGACACACAGCCACCACGAGGAGTCTGACTCGAGTACGGAGTAGGCTGGTCTTCACAACAATTGAAAAATGAAATACTTTTAGGAGTTATGTGCCAAATAGGTGAGAAAAGGTATGTGCTCACCGATAGAAGGGTAAGCGAAGTAGAAGTGCGATGAACGTTCAAGAGACAGAGTCAAGTATGAAGAATACTACTAGTTATAGTTTTTGTGGCAATGCCGTCATGCGGGTTAGACACCTGAGGCAAAAGATGGAGTCGCCTTTCCACCCGCTTTGTCTTGATCAATTAATTCTCTCTTCTCTCTTAACTCTCCACTCCATTCATTCATTCGTTCACCATTCTTTCTCTCGCGACCATTGCTCTCCGATTCCCCTCTGCCTTTTACCGTCGCATTCTTTCTTGTCTTTTCTTTTTTTTTTTTTCTTCCCTCAAGCCTAAATAGATTGTCCGCACGATATAGCTTTCCTCTCTGAATTTCAACGTTTGATTCATTTACCAGCTTTTGATCCGTTCCCCCCTCTAGTTTACCATACATACAAATCGTACTACTGGACTAGTTTTCTCACGGGACTCAAGCGCTCACTCTCCCTCAACCCCCCTCCCAAAAATTCAGGAGACCTACAGCAATGTTTAAACCAATGCTGTGAACTCTCATTTTTACCATTGACTGCGTATGTCGCTGTCAACTGCCCAGTGGTTGCTATAGTTATTGTTACTTGACTCAACGTGATATTGTCTTCGTCATTCATTTTTTAACTCGAGTTCCCTCGACGGGTTGTCTATCGCTAGGCAACTCCGCCCCTCCGCCATGCTTCTCAAACCCGCAACTCCCCTCACGATCCTGCTCCTGATCGCATTTGTTCTCTTGCTTTTATCCGTTATCTCTACCCCCATCGTCAAAGGAATCCCGTTGGCAACGTTTGAAACTGTCGACTATGGGGTTTTTGGCTATTGTAAAGGGGGCCAATGTACCAATATTCATCTCGGCTACACTAATGGTGCGTCCGGTGGTTCGCCAATCCAACTTAACCTTCCAGTGCTAAACTATGGACAGATGACCTCTCGGACACTGGCGATGACTTCAACCTCCCTTCTAGCACACGAAGATCGCTTTCGTCTATTCTAATTGTTCATCCGGTCGCAGCTTTTCTTACCCTAATCTGTCTTTGTATGGCTGCCGCAGCTCACTTCCATGGTCCGTCGCATTCGCCCCGCTACCTACTCGTCTTATTGATCCTGCTCCTTCCGACGCTCCTCGTCTCCCTGCTTGCGTTCCTCGTGGATATCTTGTTGTTCGTTCCTCATTTGGGATGGGGTGGCTGGATTGTACTCGGCGCGACCATCCTCCTCGTCAGCTGTGGTGTGGTCACTTGTGCGATGCGCCGAACCCTCGTAAGTCGCAAGGCGCGAAAGAAGCGTATTGCTGAGAACGCCGAGATGAGTGGTGAAAACTTCTACAACCGCCAGAATGCCGCCGCGGCAGTCGCAGGACTGAATGATCCGAAGCCGCTCAACGGAGAGGCAAAGGAGCCTTTCGTGACTGGATCACCTCCTGGATCTGACACCGGCCCCACGTTTGCGACATTCCGGACGACAACGCACGAGAGTGATGATGACCGCATCCCGCTGAACTCGCGAACACCGCCCAATGATTTTCCGTTACCAGACCATCCGTATCCCACTCAAATGCGTGATAACGGGCCGCCATACAATCCCTCCCGGGACGCATTCGGAAACCCGCTTCCACAATCTGGTCCCTACGGACCCGGCCCTCGCATGCGACCTGGTCCGGGTGACCCTCGGCTGCGCAACCAATACTCGGATGGCAGTATGGGCTCGCGGAGGGGACCACCCCCACCGGGTTTCGTCCCGCGTGGACGGGGTGCTTATCCGGCTCGCGGAGGCTACGGCCGTGGAGGTCCTTATGGTGGGCCCAGGGGTCCCCCGCCCGGCGGTAGAGGAAGCCCCATGGGCTCAATGCGAGGGGGGCGAGGAGGATACCGAGGACCACCACCATTCGGCTACGGGCCCAATCCTGGACCGCGGCCAATGCCGCCACCAGAGGAGGAGAGGTACGACTATGATGTTCCGCCCGACTCAATGCGTCAGCCATCTCCTGGACCAATTGGAATGGCCGTGTCGCCACCAGATGGCAGCCCGATAGGCCAGGCGATTGAGATGACGCCGCAGCCTAGGCGAACGGGCTCGGCGGAGCCGGTTCCCCAGGAGGTTTTGCTAGACCAGCAACCACATGCCCTGTCGGCAGACGGCCAGCCCGAACCTGTCAGCCCTTCGAGCCTTTATAGCCGGACAGCGTAAGACCCTGAAAAAAGCTTTTGGTCCCTACTCTTTCTTGTTCATAGCTAACCCCGAGTAGATCATATATTCCTCCCCGCGCTGCCTGGGAGCAGGCTGAGCGTCGCCCCGGACATTCACCCTCACCCGTCCATGCGTACCAGCCGACGGAGACTACTCGGACCCCGCATCATGCACCTGATGAGTCGGCGGATTACTTCGAAGATACCGATCCTCGGTTTGCTAATCGTAATGAGCATGCCGTGGGCAACCCGCGGCTGCCTTCTGTGTTGACGCCGGGTAGTTCTGGTGAGCCGAAACTGACGGAAGATTTGGCTGAAGGACCCAGCTCACCCACTACTAGCGATATAAGCCATTTTACGTCAATCTCAGAGCGGCCTATCAACCCGCGCTGGCAGCCGCCTCCACTTCCGGCTCAGCAGAGACAAAATGTCTTGCTGGAGAATAACCCGGACTTTGATCTGCGAGCGGGTATGCGGCGAGGTGGTGCTGCTGGTGGGGTAGGAGGTCGGATGCCGCCCATGTCGATACCCCGAGAAGCCTCACGATACCCTATACCCTGAACATAATCACTAGCGTCATATTATTTGTACGAGTTTGGACTTTATTTACGTTGTCAGTACTATGGTTCTGCAGGTCTACAGCACAGCTGGCACGGGAGTTTTGGCGTTCCTCTGTGATAGGCTCTTCTGGGCCTTCAGGCCTCTTAGTTTCTTTCTCTTTGCCACATTTTTCTTTCGATCTGTTTGACAGCATTGCACATCAAACCGCGTGGCATCGCAATGTTCACCGTGATCCGGAGTCTCAGATACTCAGCGAAGCGCGCATGGCGGTCTCATGTACAGAGCTGCGATATGGCCCCATGTGTCGGAAGATGTTTGTATCATACTGTTGTGATAGGGGAGCCTGGACTCGCTCACGATCTTTTACCTTCTCGACCTCTCTTTTTCTACTATCGGACAGGCTCCATGGATGATAATGCAGTATAGGAAGTATTTCAGTCATATGATTCTCTTCGTGCATGTGAGGAATACCTAGTGATTCTCATTAGTTCGCTTTGATAGCTTATGAATGGGAATTCCAATTGTCTATTCTCAAGGCCTTGTCACAGCATCCAGTATGAATATAAGGATTACCGTACATCCTTTAACCAATGTCTTTAATCACCAGAAGTATATATTCACATAGATTAAGAAAAAGTATACCAACAATGCCGGGGTATTTATAGAAATGCCAAAAAAAAAAAAAAAAAAAAAAAAAAAAAAAAAAAAAAAAAAAAAAAAAAAAAAAAAAAAAAAAAAAAAAAAAAAAAAAAAGCTCAAGTAAATATGATACAAAACAATCCCCTCAACCAAACATGAAAAACCACCCTGAATCACCGCTTCCAACTGCCCTCCAACTCATTCACCCTGGACGTATCACTCATCTCCACCCGCACACTCTCCCCCGGCAATTCCGCAAACTGCTGTCCCACAGGCGGCTGATACGCAGGAACCGGACTCATCGGATGATTCTCATACATGTATGGCAGAGATCCCTTCGCCACCTCTGCCCCCATATAACCACCCGCATCGGACCCCCCAATCGGCGTCCCCGGCTGCACATATCCCGCTCCAGGGCCCAATCCCGACGCCGACCCGAATTCCTGCCCTGCATTGCCGGGAGGATTGGCCCCAGATCCACCACGGCGTCGTCGTCGTCCAAGCCAAAACGCTCCGCCCACTACCGCTATACCTGCTACCACGCCGATTACTATCCCCGCTACTGCTCCGCCGGATATCCCCGAGGATGATGAGCTAGATGAATTCCCGGGTGAGGATGTCGCACTCGTCGATGCAGTAGTGGTAGTAGTGGTACTGCCCCCGGTAGCAGTCCCCGTCGAAGACGTAGAGGTAGTAGAAGTAGAGGTAGAAGTGGAAGTAGTAGAAGAAGTAGAAGCAACAGCGGTCGTGGACGGCCCATCATTTCCCCCATAATTAACCATATACGAACGCAAATCCGTCGAGGCCTTCTTGGCCCACCGCGACGGCGGCGTGAACCCGCTGTAGGACCCGGAGCAGTTGTCGTTGGACCAGATGTAGAACGAGTAAGGGCTGTTATCGGGCTCGAAGACGAATTGTTTGCCTTCTGCTTGGTCGATCGAGGTGCAGGGGGCGGGCGATGTGCTACGTTCCATGAAGGGGGTGTTGGAGGCGTTGCGCCAGGTGAAGGTCCATGCTTGTGTTGTTGGCGTTGTGGTTAGGGTTAGGAGGAGGGTGGTGAGGAGGGGGAGGGATTTCATTTTTTTTTTTTCCCTTGTTCTTTTCTTTTCTTCTGTTTTTGTTGAGTCCCTTGGGTGGGCTTCGGTTGATGTTCTTTGTTGTTCTTGTTATTTTGGTTATTTTGTTCTTTGGGAATTGTTGGAGATGCGATTCTTGGTTGATTTGATGATTGATAGAGTCTGTGTATAGAAATATGGAAGTAAGTAGGGAAGGAGAGGAAAAATGAAATGAAATGAAAGAGAAGGAATCAAACTTTTTTTTTATTACGAGCTATGCTCACCAGTCGTGTTCAGGATTGGCATCCATACAAACCATTCCTAGATGGACATGCGAGATCGTATTCAGGACGATAATTGCCCTTTCTGGATAGTTGGATCTACATGAGATTCTGAGATTGGACCCCCCAAATGTTAAATTATTTGCCTCCCACCATGAACTAATTATACGACATAGACTCTGCGAAGCAGTGGACTCGTTCTGTCATGTTCCCATGGTCATGGAATTTTTTTTTTTTCCAAAAAATTAAACTGAGTAATCCATTGCAACATGACATGTGAAATGGTGGGAAAGGAATTCAACCAAGTATCAAACTTCTCGCGAGAAGTGTCCATACGGAGGATAGCCAATATCTCGGGTGGGGATGGAGTCGATCGGCGCGGGTTTATTAAGTTGCCATTGGCGAGTCACCGCAGAATACGAGGTGACCAGACACTCCGTCGATAAATTAACTCGGCAGTCGAGCAATCATCTTCCTGTTCTGGAAGGAAAAGTGGATCTCACCGTGCTTTAGGAGTATTCAAGGTAAGGTACGAAAATCGAAGGGTCCGGAGATCGACGTGCCACTTGCCTCAGCCCCTTGGGGTTGCAGTGACTTCGTAATAGGAGGCTCAGCTATGGTGGAGTTTAATTGCGTGTTTGCGTATACCCTTTTTCGATTGTTATTTTTATTTTTTACTTTGCATGTCAACCGGAGATGAAGTGTGAGATTATGCTAATGCCCAGTTCAACGACTACATACGGAGCACATGAGAGTATACAACAGGATCGGGGTAACTTAAACAGATATAGAGACTAACAGGTAGAGGGAGAGACTTGCTCGGTCGCCTAATCGCCTCTCCTATACGTCAACCTCTTTGACGCCCATGCCCTCACGGACGACCACCTCCTTCTTTTTCAAAGATGCCTTGACAGGATTCCTTTCGAGGAAAAGCTCTTCCAGCTCTTCGATAGTGCGGCCCTTGGTTTCCGGAAGAGTAAAGAACATGAAGATGTACTCAAGGAAGTGCAAGACCACTGTCCGGGGTTAGCTAGTCTGATCAGCAGTTTATTGGAAAGGAGAATACTCACGGAAGATAATATACATTCGCCAGCCAATGTTGTCCATCCCCGTCGGCGTAGCGTACATATTGATGAAGTTGGAGCCACCGTACACCACGTTCTGGAAAGCCATTCCCTTGGCTCGGACGCGGCTGGGGAGGATCTCTGCAGGATAGAGTGACTGCAGTGGGGTCCAGCTGAACGAAAAGACGATACCGTAGAGGAAAATACAAGCAATGAAGCCATAGCCCATGCTGGTAGTGAGGCGTTCCGATTCGTAAGAGGAGATAACGTTGATGGGGATATAGATTAATCCCGTGATAAAGGTGCCGTAAAGGAACAGAGTACGGCGGCCCCAGCGGTCGACGAAGCAGCTGCCACAGAGACCACCAATAAAGGAGAATACTGTGTTAAGAGCATTAAGAAGCAGCTGCTGGGACGAGCCAGTGATTCCGGCGTTCTCGAGCATGACCGGCATGAAGTATCTGCTTGATTTAGCACTGCTTGTCTAGTCATGATCGGGAGGACTCACGTAATGACTGATCCACCAATGAATTGCGAAAAAACGCAAACGAGGAAGAGAAGCCAGAGACGATATAGCATGTCCCGGGATGAGAACAGGATTTTGTAATCCCACCATCGCCGGCCCCCCGTCTCTACCTCGAAGCGAATGCCTTCCTCAATTTCACGACATTCATGGGCAACAAGCGCAGATTCCGGATTACCATTACCATGATATTTGATCAGCATCTGTCGGGCTTCTTCGGGTCTATTGTTGGCAAAGAGCCAACGAGGACTCTCGGGCATGAAAAAGGCCACCGCCAAAACGATGACCGAAGGTGCAGCCTGAATGACAACCGGGAGCCTCCATGACCAGTTGGTATTCATGAACCCTGTTCCATAAGCAATCCACGTGCAGGCTGTGGAAGAATCGTCAGTGATGAGTGGTATGGAAGAAGTATGAGGTCGTACATAATGCCCCTATGTAATATCCCACGACGTTATATAACCCTCCGAAGATTCCACGCCACTGGGGAAGAGCAACCTCTACCAGATAGATCGGCGCTGACGTGTTCGATATACTGATGCCCATTCCGATTAGGAACCGGCCACCGATGAACTGGGCAACCTTGGGGGCGGAGGCTTCCAGTATTGTTCCCACAATGATGATCAGTGAACCGGTGAACATGCCAAAGCGCCGACCAAAGGTATCTGCGGCGGGTGCAGCAACCACCGCGCCCGCCAGATTGCCTATGGCATAGATGGAAAAGAGTATACCAGTGCCACTACCTTGCATGCGGGTGCCGAAGTGCTCATGGAAAGTGGGCATAGCATTAATGGAGGACATAAGGGTACCGTCAAATCCGTTCATACAACAGTCTATACGGTCAGCAATTGAATGGAGAATCGTAGTAGAGAGGTACATAGAGAATCCCTTACTTAGGGTAGTTAAAGCAACAAGACCATACAAACGGACCATTGCCCATGACCAGGGCGACATGCGCTCCTTGGTGAGAGCATCGTTGAGCCCAACGGACAGAACCTGCTGCCGTTCGATGTTGTGGTTGGAGCTCGCATCATCAACCGCCTCCCGGTTTTCCACCGAGGGCTTGCTTTCAAGAACTGATCCAGTATCCATGATAACAGATAAAAGAGAGGTGGATAAGGCCTTGCTGGGGAATCTGGTTCATCCCCACGGGGTAGTGATCCGTATATAAAGTCCTCTACCCACATAACACAGGCATAGTGCCTGTTAACCCCAGATTTTGGATCGTGCTCCTGCTTTCAACACGGTGAAAGATCCGCACTGCTCCCCGCATCAATGCACGTCGAAGAAGCAGTTGGTGCAAGTTATGGATGCATGATCAAGAAAAAATTGGGGGAGCATGTGGTATCGTCTTGCATGGCGAGGACGGCTAACGGGATGCGACACGGGGAAAGGTCCGCTCTGCGATAAAAGCCTTGTACCATAGGGTTAGAGTTATGCTTAGTGGTGGTTCGTCTTAGGGTTATGGGGCCTTTTAGCCTTTGGGTGGAGATTCTCGGGTCGCTTACTGGTGGCAACTCCAGAATCCAATCTATTTGTAGGTAAGTTTATTTCAGATCGGAACGCCCAGCAATAGTCCAGTACTCCGGAGTAAGTCTAGGTCCTTCTGAAAATTCGAATGGGGTGATGTGCTGTCTCAATACTGTGTTCCTGCCCCTAAGTCTTCATCGTATACTGAACCATTTTTGTCATGCTGCCGAGGTAAAACCCTTACAAAAATCGCGCAAGTTTGAAGATGCTCAAGTCACGAACTCTGGATTCGGAAAGGTACAGTTCTTTTGGGAGCCAATCCGTGACTTTGCCTGCTGGTCGGCCGGCTCGAGCCTCCAGGTGGACATCCTCACGCCCTAAAACCATCAGTCCAACAGCCGCCCCCGAAAGCCACGCTAGCACCATTCCATCGCCATTAAAACCGGCTGTGATCCATTCGTTCGCCGGCGTACTACCGGATTCGGAGGCCGTTGTTTTGCGTTTCTTGGAGGCCCTCTGCCGCTTCGTGAAGGTTGGACTGACTTCCCCGACAAAAGGAACGAGATCGGGCGTAAACCCCATACATCCTGTCCATAGTTGTAGTACGCAGGCATGTTCGCCTTGAAGAACGGTTGACCAAATTCCACTCAAATAAGCGCTGATAGTAGGGTCGAGACAGTTATCCTTCCAAATTCCAATTTCATCCATCCCTTTGCCATCTGATTTATATAAACCGCCACCCAGCATGATTTCTCCACCAGGACTATGAGGGTCTGCGGATTCTCGGGGTCGCTGTGTGATATACTCATACCCTTTCTTGCCAATAATACTCCAGGAGCGAGAGCCGTCTAGATGAGATGAGGGGCCGTCGGCTTTTTGGGCAGACATATGGCCACGAACAGGGAATATTTTACCTTTCAGCCCAGGGATCAAGTTCGGCGCATACGCATCAGTAGCGTGGACAACGTGTGTGGCGCGTATCTGGCCACGGGACGTGTACAAAAGGTAAGGTGTAGTGTCGTTATCCTCCACGTATATCTCCCGGACCGTGGCTCCCGTTTCAATGACGAAGGACGATTGGTATTTAGACTTTAGTTTCATGTAAATCGAAGTAATAAGTCGGTAAGGCCACATGGCGCCGGCACGATACGAAATCGCTCCGAGGCAATGACTGCTTGCGCCAAATTGCTGGACCCCAGTCAGCTGGAGAATATTTCGCTAGTTACAGCTCACCTACCTCCTGTGCTTGCTTAGCGTCCCAAACCATCGTGTCCTCGGCGTATTCCGGGGCATCTTGTCGTAGTTCTTGGACCATTTCCTGCGCTTTCTCCCACATTGTCTGTTCGGTAAACAGATCCACAGTTTCCACTTCCCTAGCCTCTGCTTCATCAAGACCTTCATCTTTGACCAACTCTAAGATTGTAGGAAGATGTCTAAGTTGGAAATGGAGCACTCTTTTCGCTTTGTCTTTGCCGAGCAGCACCTTCAGATCTGAATACGTCAAATAGGGAGAACATTTCAAATGACCGCCGTTTCTTCCTGTTGCACCGCTGCACACCTGGCGCGCCTCCAGGATCACAACCCTTTTCTCTATGCCCAACGCTTGGCATTCCGTGAGAATCGTGTAAGCTACACTTGCCCCCGAGATACCTGAGCCAATAATCACAACATCTGCTGACTGAGGAAGCTCCTCCGATCTTGCGTTAACTAGCTCTGGGTATTTCGGATCAGTCTGCCAGAACGAAACAGTTGGATCTGGGACTGGAAATTCGGGGGTTGCGATACGTCGTAAAAGGGCATTACTCTCGGCAGTATTCTGCGAGAGTTCTGACCAGAAAGCAGCTAAGGCGTGATAAGTTTCACTTATCCTGGACAAAATCGCTCCCATTATGCGAATGAAAAGTCGATTTGTTACAGAAGGAATAGCCTGTCCCTTATTAATTAACATAGCTCTGTTGGGGTGTTGAAGAATGCTGGGTTATAGTAGCGGTTGTTGACCAGACTGCAAATTGGAGTGAGAGAGCAGTATCAATGCAAACTTGTATACTGTAGGCAGTAGTAGTTGGAAAATGGGGATGTTTGGCTCTCCAACCTTGAATGAAACTCCCCACCAAGCTAACCAGATGTAGTTAGGCAGTACGTATGAATCTGTTCCATAGATTTTAGATCTTTAATAACCCTAAGTTTCTTGAGCGTCTCACTACTACGCATGATGAATCCAAGACTACCATCTTCGAGAAAAGGGATATAACATTCAATCCGTTACTCATTCATAGCAGAAACACAGGGGTATAAGGAAACGAAAATCCAGACAACACCAATTCGGGATTACAGGCTTCAATCGTCTTCTCGTCGATAAAGATGTTCGTGATACTACCGGCTTCTAAGAATCGTCGGATCCTTGCTTAGATAGTGGGGATAAAATGCTTCGAGGAGTCTTCTTGCTCGCTGAAGGACTCCCGGAATGCTGCAATGCCAGCAATGATGCCGATGGCCATGAAACAGAGGGAGATAATGGACCAGATAACACCCCAGCAGCGCGAAGAGCCGCCATAGCGTTTGGCAAAGACGCTGGCATCTGAAGTGTTGACCTTTCGAATAATGAGGTCGTCGCACTATTCAAGGTGTGGTTAGCAAGAGCTGATGATATGGGTATCGGGAGGCTCACAATATCCCAGACGCTGTAAAGAGCGGACATGACACCGATGAAAAGCTGCGATCACATTAGTAACCCGGCTGTTGATGAGGCACACAGTACAGGTTAGTTACTTACCACCACCCACTTCAGCGCTTCTCCATGGGCAATGAACCAACACGCCACCAGCAGCCCGACCGCTAAGAGAATGGTGACGATGGTCAGCCAGTCTCTTCGGGCCCACCACAGCGTAAGCAGGAAACAGACGCCCAGAACAATACTAGCAACCTTGCTCGCAACAATATCGAACCCCGCGAAAATCAGAAGGGCACCGATGATGGACGATCCTAGATATCCTGCGGGGAGGGTGACGGCGCTAATTCCACCCCGCATATGTGTAACTCCTCCTTCATGGGGATCAAGGGAGATCGATTCGACTTTGCCTCCGGTGCAGCACGCGGTGATCGCATGACCAAACTCATGGAAAGCAATAACCAGCATCTATCAACGGTCAGCCTACCAGTAACATGGATATTGGCAGACTATATAAGTCCTTCTCACCTTGAAAGGCCACAGCGACCATCGGAGATAGGGCAAGTTCCATAAAAGCGCGATAACGACCACATACACGGCCATCACTCCTAGCGTCACCGCTTGTGTGTGAGTGACGGTTAGGTCGCGCTTGGCGAGATGAGAGCTTGCGGCATCGAGAGCTCTTGTATCGAGCATCGCATAGTGTGGTGCCATGGTGATTTTACCTCTTTACCACGTCGAACAACTGAAATGAGGTCTTTGTGCCGTTTATTACATCTTGAAGTCGAATATTTATGAGTGTTGCCTTACGCGTCTAATCAGTAGATACTTGCCTAAAAGGTGTTAGCGTGTGGCTGGTCAGGGGGTATTTTTAGCATGTTTGTACGTGGCTGACCGATGTAAGGCTGGCCAATCACTGCCTCAGGAGTTGGTGTCAAAAATGACTCCATCAAAGTTTGGACCGATCAGTCGTCTCTCTCGGTTGGATCGGGAGGGTCAGTCAATAGCTTACGTGGTTTATTTGACTCCCTGAGACATAATTCTCTATTTAGTATTGACTCCCTTAGGCTCCTGTTCTAATGCTCTGTCACAGTTCAGAGCCTACCCACTAGTACTGCATCAGCACCTAATTTGTACCCGCACCGTACGGCAAGTGGATCATTCTTCAGTCTAGCTGCTAGATCCGTCCTCCACTGTCTGGCCTAGCCCATGTGGTTCTCAACTGTCAACTTGACCCGTTTGGAAGGTCTCTTCAGCTTTTCACTCAGCAAAAGAAACAGATCAGACAGCAGTGCATGGCAGCAGTGAAGAGTCTAACATGGATATGGGCCTTATTGATTCAGGTCTGTTCGAGATATAAAGAGTAACGAGGAATACCTCTGGCATAGACCACATTGGGTTCATTCATGCAATTTGTTGATACAAGACACGTCTATATACAAGCGTTATGGCCATTCACGGCCATGCTTCCCATGGGCATTTCTAACATTCTTAAACGTTATGCGAGGTTTAATGGATTCGCAAGCTCTCTCAAATAAACTCAGCTTCAGAAGTCTGCATGTATCTGAGCTTCTAAAAGAAGGATATTCTCTGCCCTAACAGAAGCTATATCCAAATGGTTTCGCGAGTGTTTGAACAATATAACAGTATCCATGCTGACTGTAAACAAGAAACCTCGATCGCCTGTCCCGACACTTGGTATGGGCCATTATTCCAAGTGAAATGCGCAATTCCAGAATGAACTTAAAGACGTGAGCCATTCTTAAAACTTCCATGCCTCCCTGCACCGCGACTAAATCGAGCAGCTCCCTTGATGCTTTCAAGGTCCAAAACTTTCACGCCCTTCTCATACTCATGTCTCAGTGCATCCTGAAACGAGCTAGCCTGGTACGCACTATAGTAGCAAGAGTCCCGGTCCGCATTCATACAAAGCTGCGGAAACGAAAGCAATTGCTTCGCAATAGCTGTGGCCTCTTCCATAGCTTTCCCCTTTGGCACAACACGATTTGCTAACCCCATCGATAAGGCCTCGGTCGCACTGACTGGACGTCCAGTCAAAATCATATCAAGCGCCCTTCCCAATCCCACAACTGCCTGGAGACGAACTGTGCCTCCGTCGATAAGTGGTACCCCCCATCGTCTGCAGAAGACCCCGAACACGGCATCCTCTTCCACCACGCGGATATCGCAGAGTAGGCTTAATTCCAACCCACCTGCCACTGCATACCCGGAGACAGCACCGATGATAGGCTTCTGGATCTGCAGTCGTGATGGACCCATCGGACCTAGAGATTGTTCGCCAGATTCCGGTGGCGCTTGAAAGTGACTGCGTCTTCCTTGGGTTTCGCTGCCGAGAGCGTCGCGAATATCTTGTCCAGCTACTTCGTGAAGATCGGCACCAGCACAGAATGTATCGCCCATCCCAGTGAGTATACATACTTTCTGTGAGGGGTCGCTTTCGAAAGCTAGGATTTTCTCGTAGAGAAGGTTTGCGGTAGTTGGGTTGACGGCGTTCCTTCGATGCGGTCTGTTGATTTTAATAGTAGTAATTCCGTCACTTGTGGAACTCACAAGAACTGAATCTGAATCTGGCTGCATAGTGATGTTTGAATTCAACGGGAGATAAGCGGAGCGGGCACTTTGATGATAAAAGTGCGGAGCTGGTGATTTGTATCCAAGCGTTTAGCCTCGGGTCTCCGCAGATCCACTTCCAGGGACTTGGACCGAGGCGTAGGCCTTTTTAGGAGAGCAAGTATACATCTATGGTCAAACTCTATGCTAGAGATGACCTACCATACATATATCGGCTCGTTAGCAACTCAAAATCAAAGACTGTGCAGGTATACATACTACTTGGTTGCAAATCCTACGTTTCCGTCTTCACATGTATTCCAAGACCGCCTCATGGCCAGAGCACATAAAACACAAAAACACACGAACCTGGTAGAAGGCATAAGTTTCATTTGATAAGACGTCTATAACCGGGCTCCTGAGCATGAGCTACCGCTAAGAACAGCAATGTCATAACCAAACACGCAAGCATAGGGCTCATACGTATTATAAAGCAAACCCATAAATCATTGAAAATGTTCAATGATGAAGAAAAAGAACCAAAGGCATACCAAACCAAACCCTCAACCCTCGACATCCCTCTTTCCCTCTCTCCTCCCCTCCCTTTTCCACACAAACCACCCAGCCGTAATCAGAAACTTCAATCCAAAAGCAAACCACAAACTAGCCGCCATCTCGGTGACCTTCGACAACCCCCCAGCAGTCATGGCGCCCAAGAATAACGCTAGAAACGCCCCTGCCCTTCTATTGCGTTTTGGGTTAACCTTCTCGGTCAATTTCGGATCTACTAGCAGATCGCAGAGCAGCGTAGTCAACACGACAGTCGGGATTTCATCGATCCCCAGCACCCGGGACGCTACGATTTGCCCGCCCGCTTGGAAGGACAGCAGTGAGATGGGGAGGATTTGCATCCACTCGATGGGGGCTCGGGGATCTTCGGGTTTGGGGTTGATGACCCCTAGCTGGACGAGTATGGCTGCCGCAAGGAGGGCGGCGGTTTGGACGGCGAAAGATAGAATTAGGGTTGAGCGGCGGCGGGGCCCGAGGACCCGTGAGACATGGATGAAGAGAATGTTGCTGGTTATGAAGACCATTAGGGCAATTAAGGATTTGGCCCAGAGATAAGCTGGGTAAGCTGGTTGGCCTGAGACTCCAAGAGCTATGAAGACGCTGTTTCCTGTGGGTGGTTGGTTAGTGGTTGCTTGAGAGGAACTATGAGGGGAGATAGAGGCATACCTGTTTGCATACTAGCGAAACTTCCCCAGGCGTTGAACGATAGGCCATCTACAAGACCACTAACGAAGCCACAGATGATCAGGACGATGTCGGTGTGTGTAGTGTCTATGTTGGTGCGGAAGTGCCGCGCCAGTGATGAGTACAGCGTTGTCTCGTCTTGATTATCTTCGAGGGATGTCGCCGCGCTGCATCCATCACCCCAAGTGCCCCCTGTTTCTTTTGAATTATCTTCTATTCGGGATACAGGCGGATTGGCAAGTGATGACGGGTGCCAGTTGATGGACAGATTCTTTTCTGAAGCTGGAACGAGAGGGAGGTCCCCCGATGAAGAGGGAGGAGGAGGAGCGTGATGCATAGTGTTACTGGATAGATCCTAAACAGTAATGAAGACTATATGATGGGCTAAGAAAGGGGTAGAGTGATGGTTAGCAAGGGCTTCGTCCAGGGGATGGGCAATGGGAATGCAATGAACTAGCAACTCCCTCTACTTAAGTTCCAGCTGGTGGGACATAACTATGCTACGAAGATCCTCTCCACACCCAAGACACAGCATCTGTGCCAAGGGGGAGATACTGAAGTCATCAGCCCAACGCGGGCCAACCCGACATGTGCCCTCTAGATAACGAAAAGTAAGTATATCCCTGCAGAACTCGTGCTGGAGTTACATCCGGAAACAGCATTTCAGACATGATCAACTCCACTATCCTGAGATAACCCCATTTTTATAGCACCTGGACACTTTCAGACCGGCCAGTATCTGGTATATTGGGTCCGAACAAACTTCATGTAAAGTATCATTTGGGTACTGTGTTATCATCTCCTCTCTCTGAGATTGGATTCGTCTCATAGATCCACCTTGGCAAGCCCTTGGCACCATCCGAAGGCGTCATGACTGCATGCTGTTTTCGTTGCGGCGTTTCGTTCGTCGGGGCCTAACTAGGGCTTTAAACTCTAAAGTCAATAACGACAACATGAACCCAAACGCTGACTCTCTTATCCGTGGTCTTCCGCCGATCGGTGGGTTCGCCAAGGTTTTCTTTCCCCCACGCATCTCTATTTACCGGGCGTTAGAAATAGGAGACCGCTAACCGATCAGAAAGAGTGGGATCTTGGCGGATGACGATGAAGCGGGAGAAAATTGGTCCGTCTCCCCAGATGAAGTGTGCCCCGTTGTTTCTTTCTTTTCTTTTTCTTTTTCGGCAGTCCGGGGTCGGTGGGCTGTGTTTTGTTGAAGTGGAGATTTGAACATGATAACGAACCTTAGGATGGACCATCGGCAACCAGGATTTCAATCCAGAATATGAAACGTGGTTGGTTCAATACAACCAAAATCGACAGTCATCTTGCGTTAAAACATGTGGCAAGGATAAGGGTTTATCCTAGCGGTCACGATCATTGTCAAGAAGAAGAAGAAAAAAAAAATAGATCCGTATCATCTTCCACCGCAAGAAATAAATACATACAATCGCCGAGTCTGGGCCCTGGGGTGAAGAAACCAGCATCTGCCAAGACGATCGGCAAACAAGCGAAGCCGAGTGGTCGCTAGTAGTATTTAGTTCCTTATCAGTTTCTCTTAAATTTACTTGGCCCAGGGATGATCTTCAACAAACGACGGTTCGTTGTCTGGCTATAGCCGCTATACCCAGTGTTCTGGGTATGTGAGAGCACAGCCTCCCACGCCGCGTATCCCACGGAGTACTTCCCCTCGTTTCTTTTGCTTTTACTTTGGTTTCAACCAAGCCACGCCGGGGAGGATTAGAATTATTGGCCTTGGCAGGTTCTCGGCTCAGTGTCAATCACTTTTGGTTGCTGATGGATTCAAGTCCCGGTTTTATTTTTATTTTTTTTTTCTTTACCGGAGTTATCCGGACTAAGAAGCATTCGATAAGACATCTAGAACATATTAGAAGGTCTAATACATCACTCCGTCAGAATATAAGTAGCGACTGAACTGTATAATAAATAGCAAAAGCAATGAGACTGCCCAGGAAACCATCCCCGCTACCCCCTCCCACACAAGAATCACGAAGAGTGTATGCTTATCGCTCCTATGAACTATTTCTCTAGCTCAGACAAGTGTGACGCTTGCTATTTCTCGGCGCTTCCTTCTGTATCTTGCTAATAAATCCTACCATTGGCCAACTTGGCAAGGGTTTCTCAGTAAATGACCGTCGTATGCAAGATGAGACAAGGTATTTCTCGTCCAAGCCACCGATGATGGCCTGCCCAGAAGTGGTCGTGTCTGTATGCGCTTTCTTGGGCCAAGACAACAACTTCTTTTATCCTGATTGAGGCGGCGTATTCATCCTTGTCACACTCGCAGGGTTAGTAATGATAGATCCAAGTCACCGTCCAGAAACACTTGCAGCACTGCCATCTCTAGTTGAACCAGAAATTGCGCAAGACGATAATGTGTTACATATGAACTCTTGGGGCAATCACTGTTCAAGGGAAAAACAAAAAAGGTTTGTGTTATCGGAGCATTGTAAGAATCGTGGTGACAGTTCCGTAAGTTTCTTTGTGCCCTTGCACTTCCAAACCTTGAAATCCTTAATTATTTCTTCACGTGCAACAGATCAAGGTTAAACGAAGACGAAACAACTCTAGAATAGAGGATGCTCGGCTCTCAAACCCTTTTTGGAGTTGGCCATCGCTTGCATGCGAGGGGGGAGAAATGCTGCATGACCGGCTCAGTGCACACCCCCAAAAGGGAAACTCCAGACGGGGTTTAGGGCACCAAAATCAGGCTGATATACTACTAATAGATCATTCAACGGTTTGAATACTCTTGGTCGGATATTTATGCATTCTTATAAGACTCAACTATGCCCGAGCTCGTCAAGATGTGGTGTATCTATAGCTGCAACGAAACAAAGTCGGTAGATCACAATTGTACGAAAATACCATTTTGGGTATAGATAATGTGAGTCGTACGTTTTCATCTTTATTCAACTTGTCAACCTCATAGATCCCATAAGTGGATTTCAAAATTTTTGGCTCGTACTTGTCAAAGATCAAGACACACTGTACATATATACTAGTAGGTAGGTAGATACATTCGATTTCGCTATGGATCAATCACCTGTCGCAAGGGAGGCATACAAAAAAGCGGCAGCATTGCGGTCGCAAAGCGATAGGAGTGATGGATATATATAACTAGATTGGGAGAGAACAATTACTGTATCTCTGCTTCTTTGCCAGATTGATGTATGCAGGAATTGTATCGTAACTTAGGGCTAGGAAATTCCCTAATTCGGAAGTAGTTCCTAGCCGGCAAAAACAAGAAAATAATTCGGACTAACTTCGACTCCGCCTTCCGACTCTCACTCTGCATCTGCATGGATAAGTATCTCCATCTACTACGACATCTTATCTTCGGTTAATTAGTCAAATGTAAATGGGGTGTACTGTATCCATTCAGGGTACACATTAGCCATGGCAGATCTCAACGACCGCCTTGCAGTGGTCGTCGAGCAGAGTCCGATGACTGTTAGCTACCAAACCCCTAAGAACCCTTCTTGCGTGGTCTGTGCGCGAAGAAAGGTCAGGTGTGATCGCAATGATCCTTGTTCTGCTTGTATCAAACGCGGAGTTGAATGTGTTTTCCCTACTCACATCCCTCCGCGCCGCCGCAAGAGGCAGCGCTCGGAGGAGGATCGCCGACAAAGCGGCTTCTCCTACCAGAGTCCTATTAGACAAGACAACGCTGCGTCAGCTCGTATCCGCAACATAGACCATCTAGCAACCACACACAACGCTTTCCCCAGGGCTTCAAGGCCTGAGCAAGGGATGCTGCTTACAGGCGACGGGAAATCCATCTATCTGGACAGGTTGAGCTACCTTGCAATGAACAGCGATACACAAATGGCTAACGGGTAAGATAGTAATGTTTGGACTAGCGTCAGAGGCGAGGTCAGGATTCCCTACCTAACTTCCTCGTAATGCAATCTAACTCTGTGTCTAGCTTCCTCGGGCGGAGGATGTGTTACGGGACATGTCCGACAACGATTCAAATCGTTCTGTCCAGGAAGCGGATGGTGAAACCTCCTTAATCATGGGCGGAACAATGAAGAAAAGCCTGGGTGAATTTCATCCCTCTCCGCTACACATCTTCAAACTTTGGCAAACTTTCCTTGAAAATGTCAATCCATTGATCAAGATACTGCACGGTCCAACCGTCCAGCAACAGCTTCTAGAAGCCAGCGGTAGCTTAGACACAGTCTCGAAGGAGTTTGAGGCACTGATGTTCTCTATATACTGTATCGCATTGGTTTCACTGAAGGATGATGATGTACAAAATACTTACAAAGAGAGCAAAGCTGTTTTGCTCTCAAGATTCCGACGCGGAGCTCGTTTGGCTTTTACCAAGGCTGGCATTTTACGTACGTCAAAAACCGTAGTTCTCCAGGCATATGTTTTGTACTTGGTAAGTCTCTCCCTGATACGCTGGGATCTCAACGCTAACTCTGCCCGACAAGCTTTCCCTGCGTGCGTCCTCTGACCCGCAGTCAATTTGGTCCTTATGCGGCGTTGCGGTGCGAATAGCTCAGCGGATTGGACTCCATCGAGATGGATCTGAGCTTGGATTATCAATTTTCGAAACTGAAATGCGCCGCCGTCTTTGGCGACAGCTCTCAATATTAGATGCCACTACGGCACAAAGTTCTGGCATCACTTCGCAGCTCCCGTATTTCTCTGTTGACGTCCTACCCCCATCTAACATAAATGACAGTGAGCTTGACCCACGTATGACGGATCCGCCTCGCGAACATAATGGCGCAACGGAAATGATGTTTGTCCTTGCACGGAATGAATTTGGTGAATGGATGAGGCGCTGGTCCAAGGCCGGTGGAGACTCCCATGGAGGTCGAGGCTTTTTGGCCTCTTCCTCGCTGTCGTACGAAGCGAAAGACCAAGCAATCAATGAGCTGAACCGCGCGTTCGAAACAAAATTCCTGCAATATTGCGATAAATCCATTCCACTGCATTACATGTCGGCTAGACTTATGCAGACGGTGGTATGCCAAGTGAGATTCTCTGCACATCATCCCCGCCAGTATGGCGAGAAATACCATATATCACTAGCGGAAAGGGATTTCGTCTTCTCCACGTGCGTGCAAATCCTGGAAGGATTCGAGGATTGTCAGAGCAACGAGATCATAGAGCGATATCTGTGGCACGTGGATAACCACATCCCGTGGGATGCGTTGATTTATGCACTATATGAGCTCCAGACCCGCATCGATGAAGAAGAAACTAAGAGATCGTGGGTCCTCATTGACAGTATATATAGTCGGCATTATGACCAGATGAGAAACAGGTCCAAAACCCCTCTTGATATCGCAATGCAGGGGC